CCACGTAGAGAGCGTTGCAGTAGTCGAGGCGGGATGTGACCAAAGCGTGTACCACCGTGGCCAAGTCAGACTTCCCAAGAATTGAATTGTGCCAAGTTGTAAGGTACTCTGAGGGTGAGATAGGGAAGGATATATTATATTTTCGTGTCAGGAGTGACTCCTGGTGTGAGAGAATTGGCCGTCTGCAAGGACGTTGCCCAGGGGACGCCTGGATGATTTGATGTTTTTATCATCCTTGTGGGAGGCTTCTCTCATGTCTGCATGAGGAGCTGGAGCTGATAGAGGGAGCTCATCCGCCTCTCCCCGGATTCGAACCTGCGACCTGTCAGTCTTCAGTCCTGCCAGCACAGGGGTTTAACCCACTGTGCCACCGGGGGTTCCATAGGGCAGGATGGAAACATGGTAAATAAATAAAATATAAAACACATGAATGCCCATCTTCATATTTAATGGAATTAGTGGGTAATTTGTTCTTGGACATTTAATACCACATTCTGTGTAGTCTGTCCTATCCGTGAAGAGACATTGTTACAGAATTAGCCACTTGGTGGCATTGTTGTCATCCTAATATTAATTCTGCAGTGGAGCAGAATCATACGCAGGAGTCCTGTCTCTTTTAAAGTCAGCAAAACTTTCTCTCAGACTTACAGGGAAGAATTCCTTGCTGAATGGAGGAAGCTAAAACTGGATGTCATCCTGTGTCCTGCCTTGGGCCCAGCATTTAATGAAGGCTATCCTGGGAAATTATTTGGTATTGTCTGTATCTCAACCTATGATTTCCAAATTTGATTCTTTACATAGATAAAGTTGACTTTTCATTGGCTGAGAATTCTGGGAGCAGAAAAGCAACAAAATTTGGGACTCAGGTTTTTTGAACCATTTTAGTAGTGTGTATAGCAATGCCGGACTGGTTTGCTTCCTTGTATCTTTTTGTGATTATTTATCAAGTGTGTTTTATTGCAAGTTACCCCGGGATTTTTGGATAAAGGGTGAGATATAAATATTTTACTAAATAAATAAATATTTTTGAAGCTCCAGCAGAAAGTTGGAGGATGAACCAAACCACTTTATTGTTTGCTACATACCAAGCAAAACATCTGGTTTAAGATAACAAAGATCCAGGAATATAGACAACCTATTTGATTGATATGACCCTTTTTCAACAAGAGAACCAAGGAGAAATCTTCATTTATTTTTACTTTATTTATACATAGTGCCTCCCCAAATGACAAGTGTTGGAGACAATGTAGAATAAAAACATCATTTAAAAAAACACCAAGAAACAATAAAAGCCAACAATTATGGATTTAGATTCGGCATTAACATTAAAAATGAGGAGTGACAAAATAATAAACAATATTAAAAACCCAGCACAACTGTCTAAAGAACAGTAAAAGGTAAAGGTAAGGGTTTCCCTTAACATTCAATCTAGTCATACCCAATAGGGCTGGGCGGTTTCGTTCGTTAATTTCGTAATTCGTTATTAATTCGTTATTTTTTTTTATAACGAAGCGATATTGAACCATTCAGGAGCAACTAAAAAACGAAATGAATTTTTTCAATTCGTTTCGTAATTGTTTCGTAATTGTTTCGAAATCGATTCATAATTGATTCGAAATCGTTTCGTTATTATTTCCGCATGTCTGGTGCAAGTTTTATAGTCATTGTTTGTTTTCTCAGTGAAAAAAAAAAATTATCACACCAACAGTCAACAACAGAGGGAGAGGGAAGCTTCCTGTCCCATTTGGAGGTTTTTTTAGCGTATTGCGCGATTGCGCCCGCCATTAACGAATCGATTCGTAATTGTTTCGAAATCGATTCGTAATTGATTCGTAATTTACGAAATTTCGTTAAATAACGAAATTTTTTTTAGGAAAATTTCGGAATTCTTTTAAAAATCGAAACGCAAAAACCCCCTAAAAACGAATCGAGTTTAGAAACAATTTTTCCGTGGTTGCCCAGCCCTACTCCAACTCTGGAGGTTGGTGCTAATCTCCATTTCTAAGCCAAAGAGCTGGCATTGTCCATAGATACTTTCAAGTTCATGCAGCCAGCATGACTGTATGGAGTGCCATTACCTTCCCGCCAAGGCAGTAGCTATTCACCTACTTACATTTGCATGTTTTCAAACTGCTAGGTTGGTAGAAGCTGGGGTTAACAGTGGGAGCTCAACCCGCTCCCCGTATTTGAACCACCAACCTTTCAGTCAACAAATTCAGGAGCAGTTTAACCTGCTATGTCACCAGGGGGCCCTATAAAGGACACTAAAGAAGGAATAAATCTTAATTTCCTGAGGGAAGAAGTTTCCCAGTTTTGGTGCTGTTACCAGAAATTCCCTGTTTTGTATCAAAATGAAGTTAGCTTTTCTAGACGTATCTTTATCATGTTAAATAGTTCAGTTTTGTCCCTTAGAAACCCACATAATTTTCTCTTCCTTTCCTCCCTCTAGATATAAATGTGTGTGTGTGTTTAACTTCCTTTTAAAATTTTCTTCCTTTCTCTCTGGACCTTGCATTTCATTTAATTAAACAACCAATAGGTGAATATGTCCCAAACAATAAAGAAGAGTATTTATTTATTTTTAAAAGGTCAAAATTAGGTAGGTTCTACAACCCCCCAGTAAACTCTATACTGTTTGTAAAAACTTTATTCCTCCAAACACAACTCTTTCTTTTCCAGTCATGTAGTAAGTTGACCTAGGGGTGATCTGTCTGAACCAAAGTGAGTGGTATTTCCCATGGAGAGATCCTATGGCAAAGGCCTCAAAGGTAGGCCTCAAAGGTAGAGCAGTAGATATCTACCCACCCGTCCATCTAAAACAAGGTGAACAAAGACAAACAAGGTATTTTGGCATAAGAGGCAGACAATCCCTTAACCTCCTCTACATTACCTTGGCTTAAAACACAGCAGCAACAAAGCAAATAACTCAAAATATTCACTGCACCTTCATGCCACCCAAATTCTGTTACAAAATTAGCCCCAAAATTTTTATCAGAAGCCTTGTGATTATTTTCTTTGCTTTTTCAGCTGCTACATCATACACCAATTTATACAATGTCCTAAACTTTCCTGCTGGGATTGTGCCTGTCACCACAGTGTCCAAAGCTGATGAAGAAGAGCTTGTACATTACAAAGGGCATTATGGAGATCCCTGGGATAAACGTCTGAAAGAGGTCAGTCTGCACTACTAGAAAAAAAGCTACCTTCCATTTTGTGCATTTTCTTGCTTCCTTAACTTTGCAATGTTCTTGCTTCTTTTTTCCTATTCCTCCCATTGCAGGCTGTTAAAGATGCTGTTGGGCTTCCAGTGGCTGTTCAGTGTGTAGCTTTGTCTTGGCAAGAGGAAATGTGCCTTCGGTTCATGAAAGAGGTGGAGACTCTTGTCCACGAGAAGAGAACCAAATAGTGACCTGTTGACCTCACTGAAGCAACAGTACAAAGTAATAGAGCAAAACAACCTGACAAAGTGTCAATTAAATTGTTAAATCATTCATTAGTACATTATATTCAAATAAAGTTTAATATATACTTTTCTGTTAAATATGATTCATCATCATGTCCAGAGGGGATGTAATTGTCATTAAGGCTTATCTATCACGAGAAATATACATCTACCTATGCATCTACACTGTAGAATTAGTGCAGTTTGATGCCACTTTAACTGCCTTGGCTCAATGCTATTGAATCCTGGGATTTGTAGTTTGGTTAGCTTACTTACTTACTTACTTACTTATCATGAAGTGATAAATGAAATGCAAGGTCCAGAGAGCCCCTCTTTGAGGGTTGAGAAGGGCAGGATAGAAATATTGGAAATAAATAAATAAATAAATAAATAACCACTAATGTTCCATAGCATTGAGCTATGGCAATTAAAGTGGTGTCAAACTGCAATATTTCTCCAGCATAGATGCGCTCTACATGAAAGCCAACATGATGTTCTAATCTGAATGCTGGATTAGAGTTCTTAGAAATCAGATTTCAAATTCCAGCTATGGAAACCTATTGGGTGACCTTGGGGCAATAATATACTCTCTGCCTTAGAAAAAGCCAATGACAATCATCATATGAACAAATATTGCCATAAAACCCTTTCTCAACACAACCATAAGTCTTACTAAACTTGAGGTCAAAACTACCTACATCTTACAGGAGCAAATGAAGTTGGCAAACTTGACCCTTGGCTGTACTATTCCCATTGCAGCTGGTTAGTAGCATGGGCAGATCTTTGACCATGTAAATGATTTCCCATACATGGAAAATTAGGGAGAAAGATTGTCTGGAATTATTTTTCTTCTATCAAAATGACAATGCTTGGGGGTCTGATTTATTCTGTCTTTGTATTTAATATTTGTATGGAGAAATGCTCCAAGCTGTGTTCAAATGGGAGATCTAAGATATGTCAGTAGAGGACTTATGCATATTAAATGAACATTACTGAACACCTGATAGAGGCAGATGGAATTTGTGACTTATTGCAGTGCAAGGCAACCTAGACAGATGATAGCTGTAGCAGGGATGACTGAACAGTAACCAGTGTGCTTCATATTGGCTCAGTTGGGGTGGGAAAACTTCCCAGTACTCATCAAAAATTAAATTTTCCACCACTAAATTTGCCACATTGGCAAATGGTAAAGGCATGATACTTAACGGGGACACTATATTCATTATCATGAATGGAAAATGGAAGATCTGAGCTACCTGTTTGTATTTGTATGCACCAATTGATTCTCCGTGTTTGTACTTGCATGGGTGGAAATTCATCATAATTTTGAAGTATATACTTTATTAATTGAAGTCCATGTAGTAAGGATCCTGTATAAATGAACTGCTATATATTTGTATGAACATAAATTTAATAATACTTAAGCATGAGAGGGTGGGTTATATTTCTTAATGAGGTCTTTCTAAATACTAAACAATCAAGTATGAATGAGTGTCATTTGTTAACAATAAAGTAACATAAATGATAAGTGGAAAAATAGTGTCTTTGTGTCTATTCTATCTATTTTTATTTTAGTTTAAAAAGTTCAGTAAGCTCTGCTCATTTCCCTTAAAGCATTCCTTTGAGGTGCATGACTTGTCCAAAATGTAAAGTAACCTGAGTCACATGGAAATTGCACATCACTGGGAAATGGTATAAGGCCTGTATTGTTCTCTTAATCACATCCGCACTTCACTTCTTGTTTCTGCCAGCTCAGTAAACCAGAAAGAAATCAAGCGATACAATAAATAGCACATAAGTACATACCAGGCATGGGCAAACTTTGGCCCTCCAGGTGTTTTGGACTTCAACTCCCACAATTCCTAACAGCCTACCAGTAGAGTCTCACTTATCCTTCACTCATCCAACATTCTGTATTATCCAACTCAGTCTGCCTCCCGCCCAGATCCACAGCTGTTTCAATACATTGCAATGTTTTGGTACAAAATTCGTAAATACAATAATTACTACATAACGTTATCATTTATTGAACTGCTTTTTCTGTCTATTTGTTGTAAAACACGATGTTTTGGTGCTTAATTTGTAAAATCATAATGTAATTTGACATTTAATAGGCTTTTCCTTATTCCCTCCTTATTATTCAAGATTTTTGTTTATCCAGTGGTCTGCTGGCCCATTTATATTAGATAAGCAAGACTCTACTGTGTATGTGTGTATCTCACACCATTAGAGATCAAAGATATCATTATCTTAACCACCCATGTGGACAATTTGGAATTCTGGAGTATTTTGGATTTCAGAACTCTGCATAAGGGACACATTAACTGTACATTCTTTCCTTTACTAATACTATAATGCCTCATTGATTGATGCAAAACACAGTTCTTTACTCCTCGTGCTCTTGCAATGCCTACATCTTTATATCAGTATTCTCCAAATTGGCTTCACAACAGTTTTATTTTATCAATTGCACAATCACTTTGTTACATTTTATAGCATGGATAGCTAACACAGCCTAACTCTTGATCTATGAGAATGGCTTTAGCCTCCTGAACCAGTCTGGCAACCTTGGAGGGGTTCTGAGGACCTAAACTTGTTCTCTGTTTCTTTAGCCATGGCCATTGCGGTTGTTGTGGTGAAGGTGGATGACACCACTTTTCAATTAGTACCTAAACTACATAGTGGAGATTATCTACACGCCTTTTTATTTAAAATGACAGTATTACTTCAATACAGTGATACATACAAGCTGAACTATGCAAATGCCATACCTAGGAAAGTGGAGAAGGGATAGAGTTATCCTCTTAAATTTGCATGATTTCTATTTTTAAAAGGTAAAAGGAAAACCCCCTTTTTAAAAAAGAAATGATAACTTACTACTTTGAGAGCCTTGTAACTGCAGCTTTTTTTTAAAGTAACTTTCCAAGCTTAGCACACAGCCCTGTAGTGGGAAAATATCTAAGTAAAATATAACAGCCCTAGTGTGGTGGGGATATGAGGGCAAAACGGGGGAATTGCTTCCACAAATAAGAATTCTGCAGCTGCAGTGAATTTTTCCTTCAATCTCAAAATTTCTAGCATTGTGGCAACTTAAGTAGAGTATTTAGAAATATAGTTCAGTCATCCAAGGAAAGGGTCAGACAATATTACCAAGAGAAAACAAATATAAGAGTTCTATGTGTGAAAGATTTTCGGTGTCTCATTCTTTGCAATGCTCTGCAAACTGGAGGCTGATGGAAACTCTCTTTATTTATTTTATTTATTTCAATTACTTCTACCCCGCCCTTCTCACCCCCGAGGGGGGACTCAGGGCGGCTTACAAACGAAGGCACAAGTCGATGCCTAAATCAATAAACAAACAATACATAAAAGCAATTTAAACGATTAACAAGTTAAAAACATTAATACATAGTAAAATAGCAAAACAATCTCATGCTCAGTGTTCAGAGTCCGTTTATCCATTCCATTCCGTTCGCCCTTGTTTATCGTCAGATCTTTCCTTAGCTGCCAGAATATCCAAAAGCTTGGTCCCATATCCAGGTCTTCAATTTTTTTCTGAACGCCAAAAGGGAAGTCGCTGTTCTAATCTCCCCGGGGAGTGAGTTCCACAGGTGAGGGGCCACCACTGAGAAGGCCCTGCTCCTCGTCCCCGCCAACCTCACTTGTGATAGTGGCGGGGTCGAGAGCAGGGCCTCCCCAGATGATCTTAAATTTCGAGGTGGGATGTAGAGGGAGATCCGTTCGGACAAATACACTGGGCCGGAACCGTATAGGGTTTTGTAGGTTTTGAAAGGCACAATTACTATTTGGAGAGGCAATGCTCCAACTTCCTCCCCCACCAGCTTCTTTAGCTTTGTATTACTGATATGGCTTGGTGTAAACTATGTTGGAATGTTAAGAGAACATTTACTGATGATAAGCAAACAATGTGGTATCTGTGTGTCTTAGCCAATTGCTGCTGGACTTTACTTCCAAGATTTTTTTTCCTGAAAGATCTTCACCCCTGAGGTATGTGAGCTTTACTTTGCCAGTTGCTTGGAACCAACAGCTGCTGGGAGGGCTCAAGAGTCACAAGCCTCTTCCCTTCCTGACTGCTTTTGCCATTAGCTGCAAAGCACTCGGACATTTAGCCTCATCTGCTGTTGAGAGCCAAAAGAAATCTCCCACAATGGCTCTTGACAAAGTCAAGGGTCTTTGCACAGATGCTGACATTGATATACGTGTCATCTCAGGTGTGCTTTGTGGCTCAGCTGCTGCCCTCTTGACACTAAAATGGGTGAACCAGAGAAGAGTCCAGAAGAAACTTGAGGATGCCAAAAGAAAGAGAGAGCTTGGCTTTCAACGTATGGAGAAGGCAGCAAAACAGTTCAAACAGCAGGTGAATTTGTGTTGTGGATTGGCTTGTCACTTGAATGCTTTTCTTCTGACTTTTGGAAGGTGTTGAGATATGTTTAATTTTGGGTATGTAATGGTTCTCCTTTTATATTCTGCAAACTGCTTTATACTATGGTGAGATATGACCACTCTTTCCAGGTAGATCAGAGTTTGCCTCATTTCCATAAAACCTAGCTGATATTTAGCATTCTTTGCATAACTCTGAAGGTGCTGTATTGCTCACAACCTGGCAGTAGAATATATGGCATCTCATCTTTATCCTCCAGTTAGATTTATTTGGAAATCCAGTTAGGTTAGGATTATTTGGAAATCTCCCCTGACCTATGCACAATGTCTAACTTATGGAGCTAATTGACATATTGCAAGTTATAAAGTTGTTCACTTCTACATTTAAAATGACAATCTGAATGCAGCTGTCCCTTCCCCTAATCCTCACTGGTCAGTAAAGAATTATCCATCATTGCAGATGAGATATCTGAGTAGACATTTGCTTGGCAGTTGCTAGTGCATGCCAGGACTATATTGCTGTTTCATGCTGGGGCCTGGCATTTATGAAGAGAAGGAGCAGTTATTCCCATTTTCCATCTTTCACAGAAAAAGTCCATTCAGTGGGTTCTTTGAGAGTGTTATTTTTATGCCTGTTGTTCAGCTTCAACTCCTCTTTTACATAAGGGCTTTGAGGATATAACCCAGAAACCTCTTTGCTACACGAACAATAGCAGCCTCAACCCAGTTATTTACTTTCATTGTGCTTCTCTATTTTTTCATGCACATCCTCACTTCATTGCAGTGAGCTACCCACACTTGTTAAAGAATATGAGAACAATCTCTGTTTGGTGATTCTCTTTCTCAACTCAGAAAGACAGAGTGCCTCAGTATGTTGGAGAAATGAAATGGAATTGGGATGTGGAATATGTCAATGGTTAAGAAGTTTTGGAAAGTACAGCTCATGCAAAACATGAGCTGTACTGAACAGTCAACAGTCTTGGAACAGTTTCTCTGGGTTAGTGGTTGTTTCCAAACCTAACTATTGATGAGAAGGCTTGATGGCTTGATTATAAAGGCCTTGATGGCTAAGAGTCATGAAAGACATATGCTTTTGTGTAGCAGCCTGCAGACTGTGAAAGTTCCTTCCTAGAATGGTTGCATCACAGATTCATAGCCAGAGGGCGGAGTTCAGGGGGTGGGAGTTAATGGTTAATCTTGATTTTGCCATTTTATATAAAGGGCATAATTTATTATGCCATTATGTATAATGGAACTTTGGGGTTATATCCCAAAAGCCCTTATGTAAAAGAGGAGTTGAAGCAATGATGGGTGATTCTTTACTGACCAGTGAGGATTAGGGGAAAGGACAGCTGCATTCAGATTGTCGTTTTAAATGTAGAAGTGAGCAACTTTATAACTTGCATTTATATCATGGATTTTGATATTTACAGAGGTTCCTGAAACCAAACCCCAGTGGATACAATATTGCACACCCCTTCACACAATCTACATCTCCTCCTATCATGGAAAAACTGACCAAGATGTGGCCTACCATGCACGTGCAAAAGTGCATTGTGTCAACCATGGTCCAGCAACTTCACATAATGCAGGACAGGACTATGCCAGAAATGTGTTTGTTTGTTCCTTACTGTAGAACCCAGGAGTGAAAGCAGCTCCAATCCTCTCTCTTCCTCTTGTGGATCTGGCTGCCAAGTTGAAAGATGGCTCCTTGTCTCCAGAAAGTGTCCTGTACACCTACATGGAAAAGGTAAACCTCACTTCAGTTTTCAGTATCAAAGAGTTCATCACAATGCTGAAGATAAGTCACAATTAAAGCAGGATAATAACATCTTTGGATTGAACTTTTCACATAATATTGTTCCTCTTCGGTTGTTCTCCAGTGGGAGATGGTTTGAAAGGCATTCCTTTTTTAAAACACAAATAATCTGCTAATGACTTACTTTAGCAAAAGCAACACTTTCTAAATGGTGTCACATATGAATAACAACAGAAGAGAAATGACATCTTGTGATAAGTCCCACTGTCATCCTGCTATAATTGTGATTTACCTGCCTTGTGTGATAAGGTCCCAATATTCAATATGCATTGTTTGTCCAAACCTATCTTTTCTTCCCTGCAAATCTCAAAACCTTTTATGCAATACAAATCATTGGCACCTATCACCTTCTGTTAAGTGTTGCATGGCTCATCAGGAAGCTCATATGAAAGGCGAGCCATAGGTAAAGTGCTTTTTTATGGTAAGGACCTGAATGAAGAAAAGAGGAGAAATAGACAGCAGTGCAGAATACCCAACACTTAAGTTATTTTGAATGCATATATTTCAGTTAAGGTTAATATAACTGATGATAAGATAATTTAGAGGCTGTTTTATTTATTTTTATTTCATAATTCCATTGCACACTGTATATTTAGAGATACTAAACCAAAGAAATTCCAATCCTGCAATCAAAAAAGAAAAAACCAAATACAGAAGCCTGCATTAAAGTTATACATCTCTCTTCCAGGTTTATTAGAATTACAGGGTTAATGCGAATCTGTGCCCTTCCTCCTGTTTTTGGTATGTACTAGACTTGGGCCTATAATACACCATGTGATCAACAGAGTTATTTTCAGCTGTGATAGATTTATTATGGCTCCTAAGAGCTAAGCTACAAGGGATTTCCATTTTTGGAGCTGCTTGGCTTTGAGAGCTGTGGAGGGTGGAGCAAGGCCCTCCAAATTGAATTGAGTGAGTGCTATGCCTGCTTGCCAGGCAGCTGGACGATGCAGGCATACATTCAGAAACATATATGTGTCTTCAATGGACATGGAGGAGAAAACGGCAGATTTCTTCCTTCTTGCACCACTACCATCAACAAAAATATTTTGTACAATCTTGCATTAAAATGTGGTTTTCTAGAGACAGATAAACATTGTGTGTTTTCTGCATGCAATAATCAGAATCCCCGATGTTCTATGTAACCCCAGTAGTCACACAGCCACACAGTGCATTTTCCCCCAATCCCCCTATATCCAATCTCCACTTACTATTTAGTAGCTGCTGAAATCAGTGGGGAGAGTGCTTTCTCATGTGCAGACAGGGTTCCTGTCCCAATCCCCTGCTTCCATGAGAAGGCTTGAGAACATCAGTCAGCTGCTTCCTTAGCAACAGGGGAACACACCCCATTGATCTCAGTGGATCAACAATTGGAATGTGAAGTTTGTTTCCAAAAAGGTACCAAATCCAAAACAAATTGGACCGATAGTTGGAATGTGAAGTTTGTTTCCAAAACATACAAATACAAAAAATTTGAAAAATTAGCACATTGTTGCCTAGGAGTAGTACATTATGTGCCCATAAAAATTATCAAAATGTATCAAATATCTCCAGTAGAAAGCTTGGAAAATTGCATTTTATAGTCAAAGAATACATATCCCCAGCACTTCTTTTATTACTGTAAAATCTGTTCAGATGGATTGGTACCTTTTGGAAACAAGCTCCACAAATGTGTAATTCTTGGTTCCACATTCATAACTACCTAATAGGATTATGGTCATCAACTTTTTTTTGCACATACAAAAATCTGTGACTATTGTACAAAGAACACATGTATATTTCTAAGCAGAACAATTTCATACATTGGGATGCCTAACATCCAGATAGAAATATTCACTTTCTCTATAGCTGAGAGAAATCTGAGAGTTATTTGTCCTCACTCCCATTGTTGAGTCAAACATTCCTAGTCAAAACATGTCTTTAGTTAGATATAATAATAATAATAATAATAATAATAATAATAATAATAATAATTTATTTGTAGGCTGCCCTATTTCCCCAAAGAGACTCAGGGCGGTTTCCAACATGAATGGCAAACATTCAGACAGATTACATCAGGACAAACCATAATTAAACAATATAAAAAAAACCTAACTCTAGACTTAATAACAAGCAAAACAATCAACAGTAAGAGCTTAAATAACCTGTACAAATATAACAGTTAATATAAATTTGACACTAAATAAAGCAACTATGAACAATGGTTAGAACCATTATTAAAAAATGACATGTTTAAATTAGGAGCCATTGAGTTGCAGCAATGTAGTGTTTTCCATTTGTACAGCAAATGCACTACTATACAGGTGTACCTCCATATCCACAGATTCTTTGTCTACAGATTCAATCATCTCTGACTTGGAAATATGTTTTAAAAAATCCAAAAAGCAAATGTTTATTGAATATAAATGGGACTTGAGCACCCACAGATTTTGATATAGATAAAGGGTCCTGGAACTAAGATCCGATACCAATAATCCACTATATGGTGGGAAGAAAGACCTCTGAAATCTCCATTGTTCATCAGCCAAGAAAAGAGAATGTTGTCATGACTCTTAAATATGATTTCCCTAACTAGTCTTCCTCCTCATGCAAAGGCTTTAGATGTAACCCGGGAAATCAACTGTGTGACAAACTACCTTCCAGAATGCGAGGAACAGCTCCAGGAAGTGAAGAAACGGGAGAAAGGGTTGCTTTATGGAGTCCCTGTCAGTATCAAGGAAAATGTTGCATGCAAGGTACTATTTGCTTTTGTTTCCTGATATTTTTTTTTGCTCCTGTTTTACTTCTCTTATGTTCTGGTGTTGCAGTCAGAAAATTTAACTTTTGCAGATTTTATTAATATTCACTCTAGAAATCTCTAGGTCCTCCAATGTGATTCTATCACCATCTTCTGGTGAAAGGTTGACCATAAAGTCATGCTGGAGGACCTGCAGGTTCCCATAGATTGGTATTCTCTCAGGTAAAATAATTAGCTTTTTGAAAAAAAATGTAATTGTTTTGCTTTAGCAGGGGTTCTGCAGTCCCAACCCCAGAAAAGTGAAGAGCTTACTTTCAGTTTTATCTGTGTGATTGAAAAAAAATCCAAGCAATCACAATGGGGGAAGATCATAAACTCACTCTCTGTGTAGTACGAGGGGTATTTTTTAAGTAAGATCCATTTTGTTGTGGACACTAGTAGTTCGCGTGCATACCGCAATGAGCACGTGCGTCGCGTACCGGCATGCCTCGGGAACAACTGTGCTCAGTTTCCGCTCTGTAGCTAACCTGTACGGTTCTGTTCTGTGCTTTAAAAATGTTTAAGACTATCAACTCACCCGCTGCATGTGAGGTTCGCTCAGTGATACGGTTTTTGTCAGCAAGGAACCTGCCTGCTGCAGAAATTCATCGACAGATTTGTGAAGTGTACGGTGATACTGTTATGAGTGAAAGCAAAGTGCGTAAGTGGGTACGATAATTCAAAGATGGCCATGACAACATCCATGATGAGGACGACGTGAAAACGGCAGTGAACTCTTGGTTATTGGAGCAGGCGGCAAGTTTTTATGAAGAGGGTATTTTAAAATTGGTTCAGAGGTATGATAAGTGTTTGAACAAACTTAGCAACTATGTCGAAAAATAGAGTGAAGTATGTACTTTCTGAAAATAAATTTACTTTTTTGAAATAAACTTTCATTGTGTACTTATGTTCAAACGGACCTTACTTAAAAAATATCCCTCGTATAATATAAATCCATGCAGTAAATTTGTCGCAGTGAATTTAAGGCAAAGAAATTGTGATATTGCAATATTTGCATTTGTTTAGGTCATATAATTAAATGAGCTTTGTAGATTTAGAGGACAGCTGTTTTACAATGTATTGGCATTTACCATCCCTCTCTATAGGCAATGCATTTTGTATGCTGTTGAAAGCTAATAGATAAGCTTTGAGAATACACAGGTTATTTCAGAAACAAATATAATCCCCAATTGAAATAAAATAATACCTGAAATATGTGTCTGAACTTCTTAATTGTTAATGAAATTTGATAGTATTACCTAATCCTTGGAGTATTTGCTATTGATTCCTTTAGAATAACATTTAGAATTGTATTTACACTTGGTGTATTTTTGTGAGAAATTGAACAACAAATCTAATAGGAAGTGACTGACTTTGTTTCTGTTCTTTAAGGGGTATCCCAACACACTTGGTCTTGTGAAATTTCTAGACTGTCTTGAGCTGGAGGACTCCGTAATAGTCAAGGTATTAAAGAAGCAAGGAGCAATTCCATTTGTAAAGACCAACACTTCCCAGGCCATTTTAAAGTAAGTTCCCTTTAAGGTATTTCCAGTGTACAAATCTTAATGACATAAGTGAGCTCTTATTTGTTTAACTAGGCTTGATATTTTTGCTGGCTTCATTCTGAGACTTTTTTGATTCATGGGAATTAAAAAATTGAAAGTTTTCCAGTTGCTTTACCTCCATGCCAAGAAAATTCACCATACAGATAAACAGCTGTGTTCATTTGCATGGCCACAATATTTACTCTCCCTGTACATGGAGAAATCTTAAATTTATTCACTTATTTAATTTACTTTATTTCTGCATTACCTTTCTTCTAAAGTGGAACCCAAGGTGACTAAAAAAGAATAAACTAAAACTTAATTTTTAATTTTCTTTCAAATGGTATTACTATTACATTACAGCAAAATAAAAAAATCAGGTAACATTGCATTTCACCTTGAAGAACTATGAGTCTAATGTGAGGAAGTGGCATCCAAACACTATTCACCTCATCTCTGGGGTGTATGGTTGTCAGGTGACAACTGTCCCTGGCATTTCAGGGCCCAAATCCGAGACCTAAGAACAGCTCCATGTGATGTCACAGAAGGCGGTGCCTGAATAGTTTATGGGGTAGTCCCAAGTAATATCATTGGACATAATGTCTTAAGCATCAACCACCATTGCAAACAATATGCCATTCAAATTAAAAAACACAGTTTTAACAAAAGAGTAAAACATTTATACATATACTTTTGAAGTCAACACTCTCACTCGATTCTTCATTCTTACACTGAAGATTGGAGAAGAAGGTCTAGGCTACTGCTGGAGTATTGTTACAGGTTTTTTTCCATGGACAAAAACTGACCTTTGATGAGAGATCAGTAAAATCTGTTTACATAGAGTTTCTTGGTGATGTAACATTATGTTTAGTGAGCTGCATGCCTGACCCCATACTATGCCAGGGCATGTTTAATGCCCCCAAGTAGAGAAACTGAATCCATTAATCCTTTCTCCTTTGACTCAGCATTGACTGTGGCAATACACTCTTTGGACAAACCCTGAACCCATTCAACCACAAAAAATCCTCAGGAGGCTCCAGTGGAGGGGAAGCGGCACTTATTGGAGGAGGAGGCTCTATTCTTGGGATTGGAACAGATGTGGCTGCAAGTATCCGAGTACCTTGTGGCTTTTGTGGGATCTGTGGATTCAAACCCACCGGCTATAGAGTGAGGTAGGTTTCATCAATTTGGAAACAAATAGGTATCCATATAGCATTTGTAAGCAACTGAATAATAAGAAGATGCATTGGAATCTAAAAGTAAACTGTATGCACACGGATTTTCTTGAAATGTACTTTCTACTTTTTTATTTTCAGAAATCTATCAGGCTAGTTCTTGGATCATAAATGCTACTTCTTTTAGCATGAGGGTAATTTGCCAAGACCTAGATGATATTAAAGCAGAGGCAGTGAACTATTTTCAAATCATGGGGTGCTTTTCTTTAGTGGAGGTGGTTGTGGGATGTAGCTGATGATAGTCAGACACATGTCATCTACCTATCATCATACACAAAACCTGACCTTTATCCATCATTTATTCTCAATTGCTTTCTCTTTTACATCTATCCACATGCATTATGCACAACCCGTTTATCTATACACATATACACGTACACACACATACACATCAATACACTCACAAAATCATCTGATTCATCTGATTCATCTCATCATTGACCAGTCTCTCTCTCTCTCTCTCTCTCTCTCTCTCTCTCTCTCTCTCTGCTTTTTCTTGCATGCTTGAACCATGTGGCCCACAACTTTTCAAACAGGCAGTTCCCAAGAATCAAATTGCACACAAAAATGACTAGATCATTATTATCCACCATCATTATCTGTTTCTCAATAACAACCTGATTCATTGTGCCCATAAGATGCCGTCATGATTCAAAGGAATAGATTCTCCTCATGTCACTCCTAAATACCATCCCTTCTTAGAAGCTCTGACCAGTCACTGCATTACTACAACAAGTTGTCTCTTGTCCTATCCAAAGAAGAATAATAACAAGAGAGAGATGATATGTGTGAGCTCAGAGACCTGAGCACATTGCTCTAGACCAGTGGTTCTCAACCTGTGGGTCCCCAGATGTTTTAGCTTTCAACTCCCAGAAATCCTAACAGCTGGTAAACTGGCTTATATTTCTGGGAGTTGTAGGCCAAAACACCTGGGGACCCACAGGTTACGAACCACTGCTCCAGACATTATGCTCCATAGTTGGTCGTCCAGCCAACCTGTTGGCCTTTTCTCTTTTTTCATGCCCATTTTTCCTGGGAAGAAGGAAGGAGAGAATAGGAGATAGATAGAGATGTTGACTAGGAGGCAAATGCTATTGCAACAGGAAAAGAACTGCCTGTAAAGAGATGGGCCAGATTGGAAAAAAATGCTGGGCTATTAGTGACCCAAGATGAGTGATTGCCCTTCATTCATCAGCACAAGCGATCATTCATGACCAAGGATGATTGTATTCTAAAGGTTGAGTCTTGGCAGTAAATCTGTAAGTGACTGCTAAGACCTATTCTGGATCCATATGGTCTTTCACATTGAGGACACAGATTTCCAGATGGAAGGAAGGCACAACAAGGATTTGCTTTGCATGATTTTCCCTTGAAACATTTCTTCCTTTCACCCTGTATTTGTGCCTCTTCAAATTCACACTTGTCTCTCTGTGGAGACATATTTGTTCTGTACTGGAGCATTTGCCTGCTTCCTCTTACCCTTGCCAATTGAGGGAGACTCTACAGATTTTTTCCCCATCCCTCAAAACCTCAAGGATGACTATATTCAAATTTCCCTTATCAAGAAGCCTGTTTAATCCAGATCCTAGACCTATGACCTGCCTATATTCATTCAACAAGATATCGACCTGCCTATAGTTTTTGGGTTTTGGCATTAAAACAGATTCTGTAATTAGCCCTATTGTATTTCTACTCACATTTCAGTGCTAGAAATGTATACCACAAATAGCAAGATCTCAGCTTTCTTTTCCTAAGCAAAAGTTGAGTTAATGGAAGGCAATGCCAGCCCTTTGTGAGATGCTATTTCACACATAGCTAAACTTTCCAAGTACTTGAAGATACATCGGTTTTCAAGGAAATTTGACTATATATGTGGAAGAACACTGGGGATGGGAGGTGGTGGTGGAGAGAACTGTATTAGCAGCGTAACCCCTAACTTTTGGACTAAAAAGTGGGCTGTGCCACTGAAAGTATTAAACATGGGGAAGGTCCAGAGCCTGTTTTCACTTAAAGCTCAAATCTCTCTGCAAATTGTTGTTAGTTCTGGTTTAAACTCTAAGAAGGGAAGTGAAATTGTTTGAATCCACAGTGTATGCAAGCTGCATAGTTAAAATATCCATGATCTGCTTCAGCGAAAGGTGGGTGTCCGATAACTGTTTCCTACGTGCAGATTTATAGAGGCTAGAATATTAATTAGAGATAATGAAAGGTGCCTATAATATTTCCCTATCAGAGGGAAAAATACTGAAGGTGCCCTGTGCAGAATTTCCAATGGCTTTCCAATAGCTTGCAGCTATTAGTAACATCCTTTGACACATGTCACTTGCATTTCATGGCTTGGGTCTCTTTGGCTCTCTCTGTCATTTGGCTTTTCTCCATCATTAATTTGCTTTTCTCGTTTCTTGTTGTGTAGCGACAAAGGTTCTACCACTCCTATACCTGGAATGGACTCAGGTGAGCAACTTCCTCGCTGATAAAATATAAGCTAGAGGTGAAACTTTTACTCAGCTCATGGGAAAATTCAAAACAAGTACCATGGCCTTTGATGAATATGGTGGTCTTCTTCTGATAAGCAACTGGAATTCAAAATTGTTTTCTTTTGCTCTTTCTCTTCAATCCCAAATGCCCTTTTATAAAGAGGCCAACTGCCTATCTCTTTCTTTTTGTGATTAGTTATTTTAATAAATGAAGACCAGATACATTATAACACATTCAACTGCCATGAATATTCTGCAGACTATATGCAAAAAATGCACACAAAAGGGGAATAAGGCAAATGATGACATTATTGCTTAATTATGACAAAGCTTAATTTTGCAAAGGGCTTAAATTTTTTGATATCCATTTTACTTGAACTGCACCCAGGAAAATCTTTTAAACTGAAAAATTGGCCAATAAAAATAGTATCAAGTGATATGTTTTTGTTTGTGCACATGTACACAACATATGTGATTATAAACAAATACCCATACCTTACATTGGCTAAAAATCAAAAGTGTAGCTATAGCTCTTTTCTCATAAGTTCCAAAACGGTGGAATTGTAGTTTACCCTAATTAAAGTATTGCTTTCTTATAGTTTTGGGATTTTGTCCTGATTTGGGTATTACCTTCTAATCTTATGATATCCTGCAATTTTTGCCCTATATTTCAGAGGGGTCATGGGCACTAACCTACCACTATCTCATGAGTTGTAGAGAGCTCAGATTTCTTGTGGGACTTCCTTGCCTTAACCTTTTAATCATCAGCCTTTATGGGAAATAATTATGTCTATCTCTTTTGCTACTTCTTGCCATATTAATATATATTAACATATATATTTAGCCTCTTAAAGTATCAGTTCGCATGTTTTAAAACTCTCATCACACCAGATTTATGTCCATTAACATTTATAGCAAATGATTTGCAGGTCAATGCTATGCTCAAGTTTCACATACAAAACTCAAGGTCATATTAGACATCAAAGAAGATGTTTTTCCTCCGATGGCTTAGTTTCCCCTACCACTAAAGAATTTTCTCAAGTATGTGCCATAATAGTCAGACTTGCAAACTAAGGCAATACTATTATTCTGATACCTAACAATAAAAAGGCACGTTAGGTATGGTACTGACAAAATTATTTCCTATCCAAACATAAGAGCTAGTGTGGTGTAATGGTTTGAGCCTTGATTGAGCCTTGATCTACAGCCCTGGAGACTGTGAGTCCCTACTCAGCTATGGAAACCTACTGGGAGACCTTGGGAAATTCACACTCTCTCAGCCTCAGAGAAAAGCAAAGGCAAAATGCTTCTGAAGAAGTCTTACCAAGAAAACCCTGTGACAGATTCACCTTAGAGAAGCCATAAGCTAGAAACAATTTGAAAGCATGCAACAGCAATAAATAGACAGCACATCTTTTAAAATCTACATATAATTTACTTCCATTGGTACTCACATTCACTACTTAACAGGGAAGCTTTAAAGTTTCTTTCCTTGGGCATAAACAAGAAGTGAGTGATGTATGGATTATAAAATGCTACAGTTCCCCTGTTACATCAGTTTTGTTGGCTGCCAGTCCACTTCACCATCCAATTCAAGGCACTGGTTATGAACTATGAAGTCTAATATGACTCAGATTGAGGCAATCTGGAGTGCCTTTGCCTTTGTCTGAACAAGGAGACCCATGATTGGCTTACTTCAAGGTCACTGTGTGTTAGAAACAACAACAACAAACCACTAAACCATGGTTTTCTGGTGTATCTTCAATTAATCTAGCATCTTGTCACACAAGGAGACCTGAGATCACTGCCATATGTTATAGTGATGAGTCATTGTGGTATAGTGGTCTGAATGTTGGATCACTACTCTGGAGACCAGGTCTTGATTTGTTACTTGGCCGTGGAAACTCACTAGGTGATCTTGGGGGAGTTACATAATCTCAGCCTCAGAAAACTCCACGATAGGGTAACCTTAGGGTCACCAGAAGTTGGAGACAACTGGAAGACACACAACAACAATAGGGTTATCCTGCCCTGTCACCAGTGAGTTGGTTGCCTCAAGCAGTGATAGCCCAACATGGGAACCACTAGTTTAAGGGCACTGGTAGGCCAATCTATCACCTAATGTCTGGAAGGCAGTCCCAAAGTCACATCTGTTTTTCCACCATATGTTCAGTTATTTCCCTCTTTCATTTTTAGCTATCTCTGTGCCTGGTCCAATGGCAAGAAATGTGGACAGTCTGGTTCTGTGCATGAAGGCCCTTCTCTGTGATGAAATGTTTCACCTAGATCTAGCTGTGCCACCACTGCCCTTCAATGAAGAGGTAATGGAACTGGACTCGGGGATGTTATAAACGGAAAAAAAATTAAGATATTCTTCTGATTATTATAATGGAAGTTTATACCCTCTATGATGGGATTGTGTGTTACAATTTGCCAAGTCCTTCATACAAAGAACTGTAAATAGGTACTCACAGTGGACATGTAATGTTTTATTCCTGTCTCAATTCTGGCCTAGGGTTAGAAGTTAGAAGGACAGGGCTAGTAAACCAGAGTTAATGTCATGGAAAGCTTACACACCATCCAGTGTGCTTCTCAGAACTTCCTGGCAAAAGGAAATTCCTTAGTTCAGTCCAGATATATGACTGAGCAGTGGGTTAAAGTGCTGAGCTGCTGAGCTTGTTGGTTGAAAGGTCGCAGGTTTGATTCCAGGAAGTGGCGTGAGCTTCCGCTGTCAGCCCCAGCTTCTGCCAACCTAGCAGTTCGAAAACATGCAAATGTGAGTAGATCAATAGGTACCACTCCGGCGGGAAGGTAATGGCATTCCATGCAGTCATGCCAGCCACATGACCTTGGAGATGTCTATGGACAATGCTGGCTCTTCGGCTTAGAAATGGAAATGAGCACCGCACCTCAGAGTCGGGCATGACTGGACTTAACGTCAGGGGAAAACCTTTACCTTTACCTTTTACTGTCATTTAGTGAGTGTACTGTATGATGCCACTATTAGTACAATTGAGTATAGTAGTATAGTAGAACCTCTCCCCCACCCCTCAAATCTGTGTGACTAGAATCTGTGGCTTCATTTATCCAAATCCAACAAACTATGATACCTCTAAGGACTTCTTCAGCCAGTTGTCCTTAATTTAGGTAGGTTTTGCTGTTATTTGTCATTTTGTATATCTATGCAAACTCTGAGTATCCCCCAAAGATAGTGGGGATAGACTGCATCTAGATAGAGATGAACAAGTTGTTGCCATTTGAGGGACATTCCTATGGAAAGAGATGGAATGCCCTTGGTCTTTAGTGCTGGGTGAGCTATGAAAAACCACAAACATCTGAGGAATTTTTCATCTCAATTATGTGATGATCAAGCATTAACCAAAGATCCACCTTTTTGTAGATTTACTCTAGTTCCAGGCCCCTCCGCATTGGATACTACGATGATGATGGATATTTCCAGTCATCTCCCAGTATGAAACGAGCTGTGCAGGAAACTAGAAAACTCCTTCAAGAAGCAGGGCATACGGTAAGCTCTGTGCTCATAGACAGTTAGTGTCTGAATGGGAGACTGCCAATGAATACTGCTGTTTGTTCATATGGCATTAAATTGGAGTGAGATGGGTGGGATATAAATAAAGTCAATAAACAAACAACTAAATACTAACTGCTGCAGACTGTATTTCCACATTGCTGGGAAACCCCATCAGGAAGAATAACAGACTAGCGCCTAATCTTGCACATTTTCTCCCAATATTCAAATGGTGTGGCGGAACAATTGTCCTACATAGAAAAACATATGAGATAATTTTTGTGTGTGTATGAAAATCCATTTTCTGTTTTCTAAACATTTATTTTAGCTTTTTGTTTTATATTGTAAGCAGCTTTGGTTCCTTATTAGAAGAATGGTGGGAATCTCTGCACAGAATGACTCCTCTTGTAAATACATGTTTTTCTTCTCAGAAAATGGGATTGCTGTGCAAAATGATCCATGTATTCTGTGTACAGAGTAATTCCTTTGTAACACAATTAGGCATTAGGATACAGAGTGGGTACTTCAGAAGTATATTTATTTTCTTCCAGGCAAGGAGAAAACTATAATAATTATTCACCCTCACATGCAAGAATAAAATAATCAGAGATTTACATCTCTGTGGCCACACTTACTATTACATCCTAGCAGTCATCAACTACAGACTAAAATTTATATTTCCAGCTTTGCCTCATTAAGTGTTTTGCATCTCTAGCAGAGCTCTACTTCACCAAAGATGTCTGTTACTTATTCAGACTTATGTTTGCATCTCTTGTTTGATGGTGGTGTAAATGAATATTTGTGGAGCTAGGAACAAATTAGAAATCTGATAAGCTTATTTTTCTATCAAGCATGTATGTTAGGTTTTAAAAAAATACTTTTAGTCATGAAACTCTTTGCATCAGTAAGTTTGTTTACACAATAAGATTGTGAGTATAGTAATAAAATACCATTTGAACAGGAAAAGTCAACAGACTTGGAGAAAATAAAATTAATCAACACCAATATTCTTTTTCCATTTCCCCATTACATTATACATGTAAAGGTTGGATGATAACTATGCATATCTACTATACCCTTTATGTTACTTTTAAATATTGTGCTATTTTTTAATTATCAGCTGATACCCTTCACTCCCCCACGAATTGATTTTTTGGTGGATGAGCTCTTCACTAAAGGCCTCTATGCTGATGGAAGTTCCACCTTAGTGGAAAAATTGTAAGTAGATACTCAAATGGCTTAGAAAATGGTGTCATGTCTCCTAAAATATAAGAGATTATAGTTTTGATCAGATTATAATTATTATTCTTGCTCTCCTTTTGAAACTAAAGCTGGCATTTCATGGTTTCAAGTACACATTCCATGAGCCATAGATTGAACAAAAATGGCCAACTCGCTAAAATTGTTGTTGATGTTGCAACCTGAAAAGTATAGATCTGGTTTCAGATCCACTCCAAACCTCAAGCAGTGACATTTGTGGTTTCTATGGTAGATTTCCTCTGATTTTGAAATAGAGCAACGCATGTGTGTTGATGTTAGGGAGAAATAGCTGTGCCACAACAAGCATGGTTATGTAGTTTTCAATAGCTAGCCACAAAATAGATGCACTAAATGTAAAATATCTTTACTCCCACCCCTTAATAACGTACACTGTCCCAAAGAGTACTAATCTTTTTCTCTGAAAATGAACCAGTTGCCATGTAGTCTTTGGAATAACCTACTTGTTTTCTTTCTTCACCTTTCTAGTAATGGAGAGTTTGTGGATTCCACTTGGACAAACCAGATACGTTGTTGCAGACTGCCAAATTTGCTGAAGAGGATTCTAGCTTTCATCTTATCACCTGTGGTGAGCTGCACTGCCACATTGCAAATTCATGGGGAGACATTTTCCACATATATTATACTGCCTTTCTGAAGGCAGTAGGAACTGTCTCCACAATTTGGTCACAGCTTAAATATAGTTCTTGACAAGCAAGCATAGGATAACATAACCAGGGACTGCCTCCTTTATTTATTATGTTTTGATACTTCCAATAAGAACTTGGAAAAATTCCTTTTTTTGAAGGGGGGAGGGATCATAGCTCCTTGACTATGTGACTATATTTTAGAGAAGATCTCAAAGCTGAAGTTAAAAAAAGAAAATTTTGCAAGCTCATTAGTTTGCATTGGGTGAAATGATTAAAATGTGTTTTGTTGTTATGTTCCATTAAGGCATTTTTTTACTTATGTTGATTCTAAGGCAAACTTGTCATGGGTTTTTCTTGGCAAGATGTATTCAGAGGAAGTTTGCCATTTGCTTCCTCTGAGCCTGGAGATTTATCCATTGCTTTGCCCAAGGACCCTGTAATTTGCCCAAGGTTACTATGTGGGTGGAGCCCCCAGTGGTGTGATGGGTTAAACCCTTGTGCCGACATGACTGGTCGACTGACAGGTTTGTGGTTCAAATCTGGGGAGCTCCTGTCTGTTGAGCTCTAGCTTTTCATGAGAGAAGCCTCCCATAGGATGGTAAAACATCTATCATCTGGGTGTCCCCTGGGCAACATCCTTGCAGACAGTAAATTCTATCACACCAGAAGCTACTAGAGTTTCTCATGTTGCTTCTGACACAAAAAATATATATGTGGGTTTCCTTGGCCAAGTAGTGATTCAAAAGCCTCTCTTAAATCCCTGGTTCTGCACCACACAACTGGGGGGAAAGACAGACAAATCTATTATAATTTATAGGGAAAATGCATATAAATGCAACAGTAGAAAAATGCGAATAACAATTAGCAGCAGAATTGAGGTTGGGAATCTTTCCTCATCCCGAGAAGTTTCAAATTTCATAAGCCAGCTACCATTCTCTTTCTTGTATTCACCTTGTATTTTATTAACTGGACAAGGGAGTATTCATACTATGGAGGCATTTGTACAAGGTGCAAAGCTTTTTTTATTATTATTTCACTAGAAGCTGACATAGGCCTGGTGGAAGAGGACAGATCAAATTAGGTTCTTGGCTACCTCACTTTTATGCTCTCTGCTGAAGATCCTTTTATACAAACACCAGATTTTGATCTGGGGAGGTACATTGATATAAGTTCATGGACGGACAGCAATTTGATAAAAAGTGCAGTGTTTGGTACACGGGTTTTGTAACGAACAGGCTTGAAAAAGTTACTTTTTGCTACAATTCCAAGAATTCTCAATTCATAGGATTGCTGGAGTTGTTGTCCAAAAAAAGTAAATTTTTCAAACTCTGTTGATGACCAACAGTCTTAAGTATGCAGACCTGAACATCTTTAGGAATAAGCTCCCTTGAACTTAATGTTTCTTAGAGCTGAGTGAAGATGAACACAATTGCCCTGTAGATGGAACTACTGCTGGGCTAAGGGTTTTCAAGATGCAGTGCATAAAAAAGCAAATTTATTTTTTTATTTTTGTCTGGTATTCCAAAAATGTCTGTATAGATTCTTTGGTTGTCAAGAATAAACTTGCAGGCTTGCTTTAGTGTTCTTGGAAATGTGCTGAAGCCTTTGTTAGACATCTGAAAATGAGATTGCTTCCACGTTCTCTAGCAGCACATTCTTAGAGGAAGCTTATGACTTGCTATTTGCATTGATTGCTATTGTTAATATTTAAATCAGAAAGTGGCTCTGGATCTTTAGAGAAAACCATGTTCCATTTTCTTTCAAGCCACAGCTGAATCATAATATAAACGTGTATAGTTGATTGTTTTCTCTTGTACGCTATCTCAGAATGACTGTTTCATTTAGAGCTCTACCGCCTCCGTCTATCTTGTAAACTGAAATCAAGTTCTAGCTGCCTTCCTTATAAAGCGGAATGACCAAACTGGAAAATCATAATCTAAGAATAATGATCTCGATACAGCCGGTTTCAGGCTTTTTTGATGATCCCATTCTCTAAAGAATGATAGGGTTGAGAGCCACAGAAACTGCGGCATTGCAACAAATCTTGCTCTGTAGGTTTGAAAATCCCCCATATGTCTTTTGCTCCCAATATTTTTGCTTTATTATGAGTTGACACAGTTAGAAAAAAACTCCCAAGGCCCCAGTTATGGCTGCAAGTGACAGAGTTCCATTCATTTTACTGGGAAATTGAGTACATCTGTTCTCTTTTTTGGAAATCAGGGTAAGTGTTATTACCTGGATTGAACCTCGTCAATTTAAGTAACTTTCTATACACATCACAAGACAGGGTCAAATCAGACATTATAAATGAGTTAGCTGCATCAGTGTGATTAGGCATTTTCCTCTCAAAGATAAAAATGGCAGAGAGAGCAGGTCTCATTTTTAATATCATATTCTTGTATTTTACGCGGTCCTGAATCAAAGGACAAGATCGACACAGCCTGCATTCCTCACACATAACAGGACTGACAGTTGAATCATACACAACAGTTGGAAAACTACAGAGGAGTTCAAAAGTTGAAGGGCAAGCTGTGCACAGTTCTGTCCTACAAAAACTCAGTGCTCTTTGCTCTCCAGAATTTTCTTGCCAACCATTCAGATAAACTAACTACTGCAATGCAGCAGTATTGGCACCATGTCATTTGAAGCCAAACAATATATCCATAAGGGAGGAGAGACAAGAAAGGTCTCAGTTTCATTGTGTTTCTCCCTGTCCTAATTTTTAATCATTTTTTTCCCTACTGTTGACATTTTAAGCTCATTTTCTTCATTGATTAAAACAGATTTGCACATTTCACCCTCTAATTGTAGAAATGCCAGTGTGGTGTAGTAGTGTGCATGCTGCTCTAGGAATCTCTGACTTGAACTGGAATATATGGCAGTGTGGACTCAGATAACCCAGTTCAAAGCAGATATTGTGGGATATTCTGCCTTGACATTCTGGATTATATGGCTGTATGGAAGGGCCCTCAGAGACAAGGGTTTGAATCTCCATTCAGCCATAGAAACCTGAGGAGTGAACTGAGGCAAGTGACACAGGCTGAGGACCCTTCCGCACAGCTCCATATCCCAGAATATCAAGGCAGAAAATCCCACATTATCTGAATGTGGACTCAGATAAACCAGTTCGAAGCAGATATTGTGGGATTTTCTACCAATACATTCTGGGATATAGGGCTGTGTGGAAGGGCCCTCAGAGAGAGGAAAGGCAACCCCTACCTCCACATAAACCTTGCCTTAGGGTTGTGATGAGTGGGAAATGACCTGAACATGCGCAACAATAAGAAACACATTTTGGCCTTTTTGCATTTTTTGCACATGGCTTTAATTGTCATGATGCCCTATGGATATTTAGAATTATTATCCAGGGAGCTCTAGTTTCATCAAAATGAAAACCATAGGAATCCATAGAATGGAACAATGGCAGTTAAAGTGGGATCATAGTGCTATAACTGTGTAGTATGTAAAGGCTGCTGAACATGCATAGCACTAGAATGTGACACATTTTTCTTCTGTGTTGATGTCTTAGGACTTGGTCTTGGGACACTTCAGCTGAAATCAGGGCTATCTTCCACATCAGATAGTAGATCCACTTTTGATTTTCCTGCTGCCTCAAGTTGAGGCTGGATCTACACTGACAAATGATGCATCCAAGAAAACCCCATGATAGGTTCACTCTAAGGTTGTCATAATTTAGAACTGGATTATATGGCAGTGTAGATCCAGCCTGAGCAAGAGCTCTCCTGCTGCTTGGCCCTTCTCTTCAAAGGACCATCACCAGGTAACAGCTCTCATTCTACTTGGAGCAGTTGTGGAAAAAGTGGCAAGAAAAATCAAGAATGGTCTTTCCATCCCTATAAAGGAAGATCCACTAGCAATTCCTGATACATTAGAACTGAGCTATGTTTTACTATCAGCAAGCAAATGGATTCCTAATACAATGTTTTGTTTCAGTTTCCAAGAATCTCCAGACATCTACATGCACTCCTTGGAGTAGGGTAAGAAAGTTTAATATAATTTGTAATGACTTGTAATGTTGCTTATTTATTGAATTCTATTTATACCCTGCCCTTTATAAGAACCCAGGTCGCATGCATAACAACAAGGTTAAACTACAGTCAGGCATGTAGCCAGGGAGGGGGCTTGAGGGGCTTCAGCCCCCCCCCCCGAAATTCTCAGGGTGGTTCGTGAGAAAGCCTTACTGGTACATTATTTAACTGTTATGTTTATTCATATTATGATCTGATCACCATGCTCAATATATCCCATATGCATGGGGCTATTGGAATAACGATGCTAAAGGTTTGCTAGGGTAGATCCTCAGCCCCCCCCCCTTTGAATCAAACTCAGCCCCCCCCCCCTCGAATCAAGCTCAGCACCCCCCGAATCAAAATCCTGGCTACGGGCATGACTACAGTGGCTGAAATCGATAACATAACTTATCTTTTTTGTTGTTAAGATGTCAGTTAGAGTTAATGTTTGGCTAAGGTCAAAGTGATGTAATGTAACATTTACGCTCATGGACCTATAATTCATTTAAACTGCACAACCAAATGTGCATTTGGTATAATGCTCAAACATGCTCTACCATGCAATGAGTGTGCACTGTATAATTATGTGACATGATACCATACACTTTTATTTTTGCAACCTTCAACCCCAAAATTACAACCAGATGTATAAATGGGCTAACACTTATATGTGTAGGATACCAATTGGATGCCAGCGTTCTTTATTGCTCTGGAGACCAGGCTTGGTTAAGGAAACCCACTGGGTGATTTTTGGCAAGTGACACATTCTCAGGGCACACCCCCACAATGCCTAAAGCACGTGCCCTTCTGTGTTTTTAAGTGGGGCATCCAAACGATGTCTCAGGTAAAAGCAAATTAATTCAGGACAAATAAGGAAAATCCTGTTTTGTCCTGAATTATTTTGATACATGGAAAGACCCAGGTCTTTCCAGCTGTGGAGGCTGTGTGGATTGCGGTCGGGGATTGCATAGCACAACTTCTGGTCCCAATCCACTCAGCTGTCTCGGGATTTTTGGGCTCCAGCAAACCCCTCCCCCCCCAAACAAATCAAGAAAACCCCAAGATCGGTTCACTCTAAGTTTGTCATAATTTAGAAATGGCTTGAAGGCACACCATAACAATGTCTCTTTGCAAACAAATATAACAAAAATTTACTTTTATGTTAAGCTCCATCCATTAGAGGGCAGCAGAATACATGATCACAGAAACTACAGCTTATCCAAAAATTGTTGTAATAGTTTCAGTCCTATATAGAATTCAGTGTTCTGCTGGAAGTAGGGAAATATATAATTTTACTTTAATCTAACTGAGAACATATGGATATTTTGATTTAATGAGGATTTAGCAGATGTGGGGCTATATAATGTGATAAACGAAGATTCAGATGTGTTAATGAGTTGTCTGATTGCTATCATAGTCTTGATACTAGGACATGTTGCATTTCATTGTGAATGTCTTTCTTGTAGTGAGACAAACAGGGATATGAACAAATTAACAGGATTGTAAGAACAGCTGTCTGACAGTTCTGAATGAACATATGGCAGCATTAAAAGTTTGTGTTTCATTATTACCAGAGACTGATGGAGACCTCAAAAAAACCTTCATTTGACATCTTATGGAGATATTTTCCAGATGTATTAATTGTACACATAGCATGTGGCAGTGATTGAAAACATAAATACACAAATATGGGAAATTGTGATTATTTTTCTTTGAAAAAAAACTTTAGAAATGTTGATGCTAACTTGCATATATTTTGCAAATTTGCTAGGTCCGTGAAAAACCTCTGGAAGAACAATGCTGACCGAATGGTAATTTTACACTGCTTTGAACTATAATGGGATTACACTTAGCCTAATCCCTGTCTTTATTACATCATTAGTCTGAGCATGTGCAGAGTTGCTAAACAAGCAGAGATAAGCATGTTGCTTAAATTGTGTTACTGCATCTGTTTGCCTTTGAAACGAATTAGACAAGGCACACTTGCCATTATTTATCCCCTCTTTTTTACGTTGCTCATAAGACCTTATGTGATTGGTCTTGAATCAGAATTCTGTCTAACTTTAATATCTTTCTGATAATCATCCCATTTTCTTGTTAAGGTTAGGAAGAGACTTAGGTTGTTGAAAGAACCATTAGGGCGAGGAAGGTTTTATTGCATCTGATATCTAAATTAGTGGCTCTCTACCTGTACTGATATTTATTTTAGTGGCTCTTTAAAAGCAACCGGTACATAGCATAGATATAATACAGATAGCATTTTTTATCTTGAAAACTGGTTTATCTGGGACATGGACTTAAACAGTACGCAGTGGCATCTGTTCTTCATAAAAACTACTGCAAAGAGTAGTCTCAGGCCCCTTCCACACAGCTGAATAAAATCCCACATTATCTGCTTTGAATTGGGATATATGGCAGTGTGGACTCAGATAACCCAGTTCAAAGCAGATATTGTGGGTTATTCTGCCTTGATATTCTGGGTTATATGGAAGGGCCCATCAGACACCCAGATTGATCATGCTATGTACTGTACAGAGTGAAAGGTCTGTCAATCAGAGACTATTAAATCAGTTTGACAAAAATCATATTTATGGGTAGGACTTTATGTATATCAAAAAATGCTGTGCCATGTTCTTTTAGTGGGCCAGATTTGATATCTGGGCAAGATATTTCATGCTGAGAAATACTTGCTTGTTATTCCAAATCTAACTTCAAGAGGTTAGATTTGGAAGCAAGGTTTCACATTTTCAGGGAAGGTTATTTTGTCAGAGGTTGATTGCTGAAAGGGCACAATTGACTGACAAACAGGTGATAAGAATGGCGGAAAAGGTAGGACGGGCTATAGTAATAAAGGTAAAGGTTTCCCCTGACATTAAGTCTAGTTGTGTCCAACTGGGGGGTTGTGCTCATCTCCATTTCTGAACTGAAGAGCTGGTGTTGTCCATAGATGCCTCCAAGGTCATGTGGCCAGCATGATTGCATGGAGTGCCGTTAGCTTCCCATCAAAGTGGTAGGTATTGATCTACTCACATTTGCATGTTTTTGAACTGCTAGGTTGGCTGAAGCTGGGACTAACAGAGGGAGCTCACCTCGCTCCTGGGATTTGAACTGCCAACCTTTTGGCCAGCAAGTTCAGCAGATCAGCATCTGTGCTACCAGATTCTATTCAATCTTGGAAGAAAATAAGGGTCCTCTATGGTTAGGGAGACTGCCAATGAATACCAGCTGCTGTAGGCTATAGTTCAGAAGAGAGAATTGGAAAAATCCACCTCTGAGTATACTTTGTCTAAGAAATCCTATGAAATTCATGAGGTTTCCAGAAGTCATTAGGCTATTGAAGCCACACACCCACACAAATATCCTTCAACCACTCTATATTTGAGAGTCTTGCTGCCTATAGATTTCAGGTGTCTTTAAACATAAACACATTTTTGAGCACCAATTCAGTCCTTCCTCCATTGTTTGGAGAACTGGAAACCTGTTGGGGTTTTTTAAGAATCTCTGCAGACCAGTGTCTGAAACATGAGGATTGTCACACATTTTCGCCTTTCTAAATAACAAGCAGTCTAAAATGGTGGTACATTTTAGCTATTGTCTTATCTTACTTTTCAGGCTTATCGTGAAGAATTCATTGACGAATGGAGGAAGCTCAAACTGGATGTTATGCTTTGTCCTGCTTTGGGGCCAGCTTTTAATCTTGGATATGCTGGGAAACTATTTGGTACCGATAACTGATTATTTTGTCTACCCTTATCTTGTCTACTCTGATTGCTCATTTGATGTTAGGGTTTTGTACTGTCCCAAACAGGGTGTAGTTATGTAGTCCTAGACCTGTTTCTACATGCTTAAATTCTGCCACTATCTTTCAGGTAGGAATGGGCAATCTATGGTTCTAAAAGGTACCAAAGTACTTACAAAACTAGGGGGTGCTGGTGATTTGCTTCTACAGTGTTGCTAAAGTTCTGGTGGTGAAAATTTCAGAACTCTAACAAAACTTTCAACATTTCATTATTATTTCATTATTGGTGATTTTTAATGACAGAACCAATTAGGAACTACCATTTATTATGAAATCTTGGAAGTTTTGTTAGAGTTCTGAAATTTTCACCACCAGAACTTTAGCAACACTGTAGAAGCAAAGCACCAGCACCCCCTAGTTTTGTAAGTACTTTAGAACCATTTAGAACCATGGATTGCCCATGCCTACTTTCTGGTCACCCTTAGCTCTTGGATTGAAGAATGCTGTTAAACTGAAAGGTAGTTATCTGGGAGAAAGTCAGTGCCAGCAGAATAGCCAGAACTCCTCCGTATATAATGTTCAGCTAGCTTTGAAATGTATATCCAAAGAAATAACTTCCCTGGGTTTTTCATATAGCATAAATCACACTTCATCTTAGCCAAAAGGCCAAGAAGCATAAATCAAGCAATCTTGCATGTGAGAGAAAATTCCTTAGGGTGATCAAAGTTAGCAGTCAGACTTCAGATTCCTATTAACAACTTTATTAAGGTAAAAGGGGGTTACTCATATTTTCTGCTTAAATAACCTTCCCTTAGGCAAACTTTCAGAAAAACTAGCAAACATATATACAAAACACCTGGACTACCCATCATTCGGTGATAGGCTGAATCCAGGGAAACAGCTCCATCTTTATCTCTTTGCTCAGGAGAGGAGAGTTAACTTCAAAGTGAATTTACTAGTTAGGCAAAGCATTTATTGCAGAATAACTGAGAGTCATATTGGTTCATCACATAATGAAGGGGATTGAGTACTAGTCCTTTCTGACCATAACAATGAGGGAGATAAGAAAATAAAAGTACAAACATTTTGGTGGGCAGTTTTGGTAGGTGGCAGAGGTACATCATCATGTGTATGAGAGTGACTTTTTCATCCATGTAGGAGAAAGACTATAGAAAGTCTAGATCATGGAGGCTAGAGGCAGTATATGTGTTTTGCTTTGGGTTACATGCATATGCATGAAATGACAACCCCCTTTCCTCCCATTCTTTATGATTCAAATGCCCATACATGTTTATGAAGTGATAAAGACTAAAGGTTTGCAAAGCAACAAAACAATTAGAAGAGAGACATCATTATGGAAAAGGCAGAGCTATGTGCACTTGCATTGCATCACTTAATACTGATTGCAGCGCCTTATATCAGATCAGTAACTGGCAATAAGAAGCCATTAAAATATTAAATACCTTGCATAGCAATGCTTTGAAGTCAAAAGAACTGTTCCGTGGACTGAGATGCATTTTACAACTAGGAAAGTGGGAGCTCTGGATCTTGGTAAGAGAAACAGCCAAATTGACAAGGGTCCTGTCTTATCCCCTTTCAAAAACTTCAACATGAAACTCACTGGACAACTGGGGTTCTCCAGTATATGACTATTATATTCTCTTTGCCCTGGATATATGGCTTCAAAGAAATGGCTGCAGGTTCTGATCAGATCTCTTCTGTAAGTTTTCAACAGCCGCATTTACATCTTTTCATGAGTGCACTACCTTTTCCCAAATGCTTTCTGTCATGTTCTACAACTTGAATGTAACCAAACTAGAAAATCTTGTTTTCTCTTTTAAGAAGATAAAGAAATACTCATTCTGTAGATGGCTACATAGATGAAAGATTAGAGATGGGGAAAGTGATACATGCTCTACATGGCATATTTACAATGCATACTTTTCTGAGCTGCCTTTGCCAGATAACTTTCCCAGCTCCTCCAATGAGTTTTATATGTTGCCTCAACAATACTCTTGACAGTTTTCTCATCCCTTGAAACCAGTGCTTCTCAATCTTTGGTATTTAGGGACCTCGTCACATTGAGGTTCTCAAGCCAGGGGACAGCAGGGGCATCCGTGGGCAGAGGGGCAAATCTGGTGGGCACAGGGGAAAACTGTCATTCTGTGGCCCACATTGCCTGCTCAGCTCCCCTCCCCCCCCCCATTTTCCCTAGCATAGCTTTTTATCCTGTTATATTTATACATTTATACAACATCTTCTTACATACACCTGGGTACAGACAGTAAAGGGAGAAGTTAACTTTGTGGATTACCGATCCCAGAATCCTCAGGTCAACATGGAGTTCTCAAAGCTGTACCCCCCCCCCCGCCAAAAAAAACCCCCTTATCTCTGCAGAATTGTTTTAAAATAGTTTCATTTAAATAACTTCTTTCTGGGCTAAAGTCTCCTACTATGAATTATATTGCATTTCTGGGGCTTTTAATTTTGATAACAAAGCTTGGGGAATTTTGATACATTCTATATGTTCTCTTTCAGTTGCTACTACCTATACCCACCTGTATAACATCTTGAATTTTCCTGCTGGAGTTGTGCCAGTCAGTACAGTTACTCCAGCTGATGAGGAGGAGTTGAAACTTTACAAAGGACATTATGGAGACCCCTGGGATACTAGAATGAAGGAGGTCAGTCAGTAGCAAAAAAAAAAAAAGGGGGGGGGGGAATTGCTATGCATAGAAACCATGTGATTGAACCTCTCTGTTGTGCAAAAGATCTGTGGGGTTCCCTTCCTTTGCTGTCAATAACATTTTATAGCAGGTGTAACCAGTTTGGAAAAATATTTTGAGGGGGGTGGGCAGGGGTGTCTGCATGCTCAGTTAACAACTGTGTGCAGATGTAGCCAAAGCCACAACAATATTGAAAAGCTTCCTGATTGGTGTGAAAACTACAAACTCACTTTTTCTCTCAATATTATACTGATCTGTGTTTTTCTTGCAGGCTGTGGAAGGTGCTATTGGGCTCCCTGTGGCAGTACAATGTGTGGCCCTGCCATGGCAAGAGGAATTATGTCTTCGGTTCATGAAGGAGGTAGAAAGAGTCTCTCTTGAGAAGAGAGGAAGGAGGAAAGTCTGAACCAGTTAGAAAGGATCTGGGAAGGAATTCATTGTATCTGCAAATAAACTTTTGTGTTGGCTTCCTTGATTTACTACCGTGTCTGTTTTAATACACTGCAGCCAGGCCCGTAGCCAGGATTTCGTTTGGGGGGGGGGGCTGAATTTTTTTCAGGGGAGTTTCGGGGGGGGGCTGAGTTTCGGGGAGGGGCTGAGTCTGAGTGAAAGAGGGTCTAGCCTAGCAAACCTTTTGTATCATTACCCCAATACCCCCATGCATATGGGATATATTGAGTATGGTGATTAGATCATGATATGAATAAACATAACAGTTTCAATAATGCACCAGTAAGGCCTTTTCGCGAACCACCATGAGAATTTCGGGGGGGAGGGGGGCTAAAGCCCCTCAAGCCCCCCCACCCCCCGGCTACATGCCTGACTGCAGCTCTCAGTCACCAGTCTGTTACCAGGAAATTGGTCACATTTTTCTCTTGTCAACTTTATGGCCTTCAGGTTGCCCTGAACAATGACAACTTTATCCTAGGTTATCTTGGAAAGATTTCTAGAAGTGGAAGTTTCAAAAGTTAGGAGAAAAATATCTCCCTTTCCAATTACCACAAAGACTTTTCCTGCAATGCTTTGTACCATCAGCCAGGCACGAATCAATGTATTTCATAGCTACATAATGACTGGGATTTCTTCAGAAAAGGTTTGCCATTGCCTTCCTCTAAGGCTAAAGGAGAGTGACTTTCCAAGGTTACCCATTGGGTTTTCATGGCTGAGGATGAATTCATAACCTGATCTCCCAAAATCATGGTCCAACACTCAAAGCACTACATGGGTTCTATGAGCATCTACTAACACAATACTCTCCAGACATACCCCTGCTGCTTCATTCACAGTTCCAATAAAATACATTAATCAACAAACAAGCATTTATTTAATACGATCTTAATGTGTATGGTTTGACTGATCATAGGAATAATAATTCCTATCCTAAGAGATACTGACTTCCTCTATAGCATCAGTTCTCAACCTGTGGGCCGTGGCCCAGAAGTGGACTGTGAGAATGAAAATCTGGTCCATGAACCTAGTTCCTCTTTATTTTATTTGATTTATTTGATTTCCACTCCTTTCCACAGAGCTGACCAGCCCCACCCCTTTTGGTACTAATGTTAGAGAGTAGTTCCTGATCAAAGTGGTCCCTGGTCAAAGTGGGTCCCGGTCAAAAGGTTGGGAACCACTGCTCTACAGTTTACATGAGCCCACTGGGGATTTGTTTGCTTTTTTTTGGGGGGGGGGGGAAGAAATGGTTCTGTGAAACTTCTCTTCCTGCTTACCTCTTGCTACTGCCTAATTTTTCACCATATTGCTGAATTTTGACAGGGTATGTGACAATAGAAAAAATCATTTTTCTTTTCTTTTAAATGAATGAATGCAGAGAACATGTACTCCTTTTAGAGCAGAATTGTGTCCCTGGAAACCTCTTAAAAGTACAATTTTGCCCTCACATTCTTTATGGACTCAGTTTTCAAAAACACTGTGGCTTTTTAAAACATCATTGATGCACCACCAAAATTTGATGTCAGTATTGACAATATGCACCCTCAATAGGTTTCAGTGGATCAAATGCCATTTTTTAAATTTATTTACTTACTTTGTTCTGTACCCCACTCAGTTCGATGTTGTTCGAATCTAGGACAATACAAACTCAAAATACACACAAAATCAAACACACAGAAATTTTAACACCTCATATAATAAATAAATAAATAAAAGTACATGATATAAATAGTAATAAAAACCAGCTTCCAGGATGATTATGCTACTCAGTTATGACCTAACAATTTGCAAGGAATAATAAAATTTCATCAGAGTTAATTTTGGCCTTTTCCTATCTGAAAACCTCACCCCCCCCCCCCCCCCACTTAGAACTGTTCTTTAGCAGCCAACAGCACCTAAACTGGTGGTTCTTAACCTTTGGACCATGGACCACCAGTGGACCATGAAGATGAAAATCTGGTCAGCAAGCTTCATTCCTCTTTATTTATTTTATTTTATTTATTTTATTTCCACTCCTTTTGCACTGCCTGCCACTCTTTCCCTGTCGCTGACCAACCCCGACCCCTTGGATAGACCACATCAGCTCTAAATTATTAAATAAGGTTTTCTGTTGGTGAGCAGATGGCAACTACTGGATGGCATATGTTCTATATCAGAAACTAGAGCTGATGTGGTCTATCCAATGTAATTTTCTGAATTGGCACCCCAAATAACCAAACTGAAACTAAAGTTGACTAAAAACTGATTCGTAACCCTCTTGCTACTAATGTTGGCGAGTGGTCCCTGGCCAAAGTAGTCCCTGATCAAGTCGTCTGGTTAAAAAAAAAAAGGTTGGGAACCGCTGACCTAAACAAACTCTTCCCCTTATAGCTAAACCTACCCTGCAACACTTTCCTGTTATATCTTTTCCCCTTGCTTTTGCTGCACAGGATGCCTTCCTATTCATAGCTCAGTGGAGTATATATATACAATCCTGACATCAGACGGCTGTTAAAAGGTTTTCAACTGAAAAGCAGATTACAAGCTTTATAAAGAAACAAAGTAAAAATTCTCTTTTGAAGCCTTCTGCACTTTGTTATGAAGATTACATCTTGTTTTGAACAAGGTAGGATGTTACACAGTTTTTGTCCTCCCCCCCCCCCCTCATGTTGGGCAAAAGTAACTTCTTGTTACAAGCTGAGAAAATCTCTTGTTGAATATCTGCCTCATAGTGCTCTTAGGAATTCTGTGGACTGAAGTATTTTTACATTGTGGAGTATTTGCCCTGAACCACTCTAAATGTGCCAGAAGAAATCTCTGCAATCTGTTTTTCCACCTATCTACTGATTTGAGTCTCACTATCTTCTGATTGGCTTTAAAAAGCAGGAAGGGTAGGACTGTCAGGAAGAAAAGCAAAATATATTTCAAAGCCTCACCTCCTCCTTGTGCTTACATAGCCCAAGCCGTAGATGTGGTTCCACACAATGTAAATGGCTTGGACTAGTTGTAGACAGAGATGAGAGGGGAAGGTAAGTGTGTGTTTTTGGTGGGGTAAGAAAACAAACAAACAAACAAGAGGTAGGCATGCTTATAGAATTTGAATTAAACTGCTGTGGAGTTGAGTAAAAGCTAGGAAAGGGCTTTTCTTCAATGTAACATCTATCTATTCATCTATAAAGCAACAGATGAGATAAAAATTGTGGTGTTTGTCCAGCAATATTGTGTTACATACTATTGTGTACGTTGCTCTTATGTACAATAATATACTGCACATGTTATTTCGTGTGCATGCATGTTATTATATTTTTGTATATGCTGATTGGAACGGTTATCTATGTAAGTATATGTATGCTTGCCTTTATGGAACAATTTTAGTGGTCTATTATGCATCTATAAGACATATGCAGTGTGCGTGAGAATGCATTCATGCTTTTCCCAAACGGTAGTTTGCTCACCGCCCCTGAGTCCCCCCCCCCCCCACACACACACACAACAAGGCTATGAACTGGCCCTTGTATTAGGAATTTTGGACACCCCTTGTGCATAACTTCTTTTAGACAGTGAAAAATTAACAAGGGTTAAAAAAATGATATGTGGACTCTTTCCTCTCCTCAGATTTCTGAGAGTCTTTCAATGAAGACTCTTTTATGTGTAAAAGAAAATTATTTTCTGGAATTTATTGCCTAATCATGTAGGGATGTCCATCAGCTTAACTGGGCCTGAGAAAAAAATCATCAGGAGAGATAGGATTATTTTGAACATACAGGCTAAAGATCCCGAATCCAAAATTCCAAAATGCTTCAAAATCCAAAAGTGTCCTTGTAGGGGCCTGAAGCAGTAAAAACTTCTTTCTGATGACCCAATGTACTCAAACTTTGTTTCAGGTACAACATTATTTTAAAACGCTTACAAATCTGTGTTGATAGTACTAGGCTAGATTAACTAAAGAATTTTCAAATAATACAATTTCCTGTATTTCTAATAGTTGTGCATAGTGACATAGAAGTAAATCAACCAGTTCCCTTTTCTTGTCTCTCCATGTTGCTGTGGTTTAATAGCAGAAGAACGACACCGTGTGCAGCAGGCCCGTAGCCAGGATTTCGATTCGGGGGAGGGGGGCTGAGTTTGTTTCGGGTGGGCTGGGTGTGTGTGAAAGAGGGTCTACCCTAGCAAACCTTTTGTATCATTTAGCCAGGATTTCAATTCAGGGGGGAGGGGCTGAGTTTGTTTCGGGGGGGGGGCTGAGTCCGAGTGAAAGAGGGTCTACCCTAGCAAACCTTTTGTATCATTACCCCAATACCCCATGCATATGGGATATATTGAGTAGGGTGATCAGATCATGATATGAATAAACATAACAGTTTAAATAATGCACCAGTAAGGCCTTTTCGCGAACTACCATGAGAATTTCAGGGGGGGGGGGCTGAAGCCCCTCAAGCCCCCCCCCCCCACCCCGGCTACATGCCTGGTGTAGAGAACAGTATAGTGCTGGAAAGAAAAGAAAAAAATATTTAGAACTATTCAAACTTTGGAACTATCAAAGAGCTAAAATTACTCTGCTGCATTCAAGAACGAAATTAGCAAAAAGTTGTTGGTTCAGATCTAGCTGGCTGGACTTACATTCTTGTGCTGGCTTTGTATTTGCCACTTGGCCCATCTCACTTTGCTTTAATGGCTATTCCATGGAATATATCTTAGTCCATGTAGAATTTGACTTTTCCCATTGATTGTCATTCTCAACATATTGCCACTATTGAGTTGCACCTTGAACATAATAGATCAGTTCTTTCATTCATCCGGGCTGAAATACATTACCCATCTTTGTATTCATCTGTGAGTCATTATCTACATTTATATTCCTCTGTCAATCGTTAATGTGCTTTTTTTGATGCCTTTATGTAGTGGACTCACCAAAGGCTCAAACTGGAATTTTCGCAGAGGAACTGTTAATAAGTGTTTCCTACAATGTACTGTGATGATGGAACATGCCTGATGGAATTAGTTGGCTATCACATTTTTTGTATGAATTTTCAGGATTCACTAGCCCCGGCCAGTGATCTGTTTCAATGATGTTGCAAAGTGCTTCCGCCACAATCCAGGAATGGTTGGCTCAACCATGGCAGCAAATGAAAATGGATCTTCGGATGGTCCTTGTCCTGGCCTGTGGCTCGTCTGCAGGTTTCTTTGCATTGAGATGGATAAGACAGAAAAGGATCAGAAAACAAATTCTAGAGGCAAGAAGGAAGAGAAACAATGGTTTGGAAGAAATGGAAAAGGCTGTCAGTGAGTTCAAACAGCAGGTATGCAAGTACTAAATGAAAGTAAACACATCAAATTTTCTCACTGAAGACTACAGAACCTAAAATAATTATTTGATTGGTAGAAGTATTTGATAGTTCAACAGAATTTCAGTGAACAAGATATATTATACTCAGAATGCTAATGTAATATTTTCTTGCAGGTCTGAACATTTTAAATAATTTACAGCCGGAAGCCGCCATGGTTTAGTGTTTTGAGTGTTTGCCTATAGAACAGGGTGACCTTGGACAAGTCAATAGACTTTGGACTAGTCTTTGAAAACCCCATGATAGGTTCAACTCAGGGTCATCATAAGTCAGGAATAACTTGAAGGCACAACACAACAATAAATTTACAGAGAGAGAATTAGATTTTATTATATACCTGTAATGGGATTCAGAGTGCGGATGATGTAGGTTTGTTTTGTTATACTTTTGACAGGAACTTCTTTCAAATCTAACAATTTCTTATAAATCCAGTGGGAAGGACTTTATTTTTTAAAATTACAATGGAAGTATTGAAAAAGGCAAAACTGACAAATTCAGCATGGCACTTCAAGTGCACAGCACTTAATCATTCGGTACCGAAGCACTATGTATTCTGCCATATTTGCTTTCTGTGTTGAATTGGATTTCTCTTTCCTTGTTTTGATAGGATATTTATAATTAATAGGTACATTTATAATTAATAGGTACATTAATAGGTACAACCAAAGGTTGGAAAAAATGATTTGGGGAACCACAATGCCTATTGAGTCTTGATGGCTAAGGAAGTCTGTTGTCTGTGATCTGTGAATGTTATTGAGGTTCAACTTGGTGTTCTGGGAATGGCAAAAGATCTTGGGACCACAACTTCATGGAATTTGTGAGAAATGTTATGGTTTATGCTCTTCTTCCAGAATCCTGGAATACAAACCACTTCTATCCTTTCTCTGCCTCTGGCAGAGCTGGCTGAGAAGCTGAAGGAAGGGTCTTTGTCTCCTGAAAGTGTCCTTTATACCTATATGGAGAAGGTAAGAAGAATGAAATAGTTTCTCTAGAAAATAAAATCCAAGATAGGCTAAATACTGAATAATAACAACAAAACCCTTGTTGCTAATTCTTTCAGTCGTCTCCGACTCTTCGTGACCTCATGGACCAGCCCACGCCAGAGCTCCCTGTCGGCCGTCACCACCCCAGCTCCTTCAAGGTCAGTCCAGTCACTTCAAGGATGCCATCAATCCATCTTGCCCTTGGTCGGCCCCTCTTCCTTTTACCTTCCACTTTCCCCAGCATAATTGTCTTCTCTAGGCTTTGCTGTCTCCTCATGATGTGGCCAAAGTACTTCAACTTTGTCTCTAGTATCCTTCCCTCCAGTGAGCAGTCGGGCTTTATTTCCTGGAGGATGGACTGGTTGGATCTTCTCACAGTCCAAGGCACTCTCAGGACTTTCCTCCAACACCACAGCTCAAAAGCATCTATCTTCCTTCGCTCAGCCTTCACTAAGGTCCAGCTCTCACATCCGTAGGTTACTACAGGGAATACCATGGCTTTGACTAGGCGGATCTTTGTTGCCAGTGATGTCTCTACTCTTTACTATTTTATCGAGATTGGACATTGCTCTCCTCCCAAGAAGTAAGCGTCTTCTGATTTCCTGGCCACAGTCTGCATCTGCAGTAATCTTTGCACCTAGAAATACAAAGTCTGTCACGGCCTCCACAATTTCTCCCTCTATTTTCCAGTTGTCAATCATTCTTGTTGCCATAATCTTGGTTTTTTTGATGTTTAGCTGCAACCCGGCTTTTGCGCTTTCTTCTTTCACCTTGATTAGAAGGCTCCTCAGCTCCTCCTCGCTTTCGGCCATCAGAGTGGTGTCATCTGCATATCTGAGGTTGTTAATGTTTCTTCCAGCAATTTTCACCCCAGCTTTGCAGTCATCAAGCCCCGCACATCGCATGATGTGTTCTGCATACAAGTTAAAAAGGTTGGGTGAGAGTATTCGGTCCTTGTACAGATTCCTCAGGAGAGAGAGAAGGTGGCTTGGTATGCCCATCCCACCAAGAACTTGCCACAATTTATTATGATCCACACAGTCAAAGGCTTTAGAATAGTCAATGAAGCAGTAGATGTTTTTCTGAAACTCACTGCCTTTCTCCATTATCCAGCGGATATTGGCAATCTGGTCTCTCGTTCCTCTGCCTTTTCTAAACCCAGCTTGAACATCTGGCAACTCTCGCTCCATGTATTGCTGGAGTCTTCCTTGCAGGATCTTGAGCATTACCTTACCGGCATGAGAAATAAGGGCCACTGTACGGAAGTTGAGCAGTCTTTCGCATTTCCCTTTTTTGGTATGGGGATATAAGTTGATTTTTTCCAGTCTGATGGCCATTCTTGTGTTTTCCATATTTGCTGGCATATGGCATGCATCACCTTGACAGCATCATCTTTCAAGATTTTAAACAGTTCAGCTGGGATCCCGTCGTCTCCTGCTGCCTTGTTGTTAGCAATGCTTCTTAAGGCCCATTCAACCTCACTCCTCAGGATGTCTGGTTCTAATTCATTCACCACACCGTCAAAACTATCTCAATATTATTATCCTTCCTATACAGATCTTCTGTATAGTCTCGCCACCTTCTCTTGATCTCTTCAGCTTCTGTTAGGTCCCTGCCATCTTTGTTTCTTATCATACCAATTTTTGCCTGAAATTTACCTCCAATGTTTCTAATTTTCTGGAAGAGGTGTCTTGTCCTTCCTATTCTGTTGTCTTCTTCCACTTCCATGCATTGCTTATTTAAAAATAGTTCCTTATCTCTTCTGGCTAACCTCTGGAATTGCGCATTTAACTGGGCATATCTCCCCTTATCCCTGTTTCCTTTTGCTTTCCTCCTTTCTTGGGCTACTTCCAGTGTCTCAGCAGACAACCATTTTGCCTTCTTGGTTTTCTTTTTCTTTGGGACGTACTTTGTTGCCGCCTCCTGAACAATGTCGCGGACTTCTGTCCATAGTTCTTCTGGGATTCTGTTTACTAAATCTAGTCCTTCAAATCTGTTCTTCACTTCCACTGTATATATGCTAGGAATGTTAGTGAGATCACATCTAACTGGTCTGTGTATTTTCCCTGATCTCTTTAGTTTTATTCTAAATTGAGCAATAAGAAGTTCGTGATCTGAGCTACAGTCAGCCCCAGGTCTTGTTTTCACCAACTGGATGGATGTCCGCCACCTTTGGCTGCAAAGGATGTAGTCAATCTGATTTTGGTGTTGACCATCTGGTGAGGTCCATGTATAAAGCCGTCTTTTAGGTTGTTGGAAGAGAGTATTCGTTATACACAGCGAGTTTTCCTGGCAAAATTCTATCAGCCTGCGTCCCGCTTCATTTTGTTCTCCCAGACCATGCTTGCCTGTGATCCCAGTTGTCATGTGACTTCCCACCTTGGCATTCCAGTCTCCTGTAATGAAAATAATGTCTCTTTTTGGTGTATTATCCAGTAGGTCTGCAGATCCTCATAGAACTGATCTACTTCTGCTTCTTCAGCAGCTGTGGTTGGGGCGTATATTTGGATCACTGTAATGTTGAAAGGCTTTCCTTGCACTCGAATTGAGATCATTCTGTCATTTTTTGGGTTGTATCCAAGCACTGCTTTAGCGAATTTCTTATTAATTATGAAGGCTACTCCATTTCTTCAATGTTCCTCTTGTCCACAGTAGTAGATCTGGTAGTCATCTGATGTGAAGTGGCCCATTCCAGTCCATCTCAGTTCGCTGACCCCCAGAATGTCTATCTTTAGTCTTGACATCTCACCAATAACAACATCCAATTTGCCCTGGCTCATAGATCTTACATTCCAGGTTCCTATGGTGTGTTGATCTTTAGAGCATCGGATTCGTCGTTCACCTCCAGTACCGTCGGCCGCTAGCCTTCCTTTCGGCTTTGAGCTAGCTGCGTCATCACATCTGGGGCTAGTTGAACTTATCATCTGCTCCTCCCCAGTAGCATTTTGGCCATCTTCCGACCTGGGAGTCCCATCTTCCAATGGCATACCGACATATCTCTGGTTGTACTGGTCCATTCAGTTTTCTTGGCAAGGATACTGGGGTGGTTTGCCATTGCCTTCCCCAGGGATCACGCTTGGTCTGACCTCTCTGCCACGACCGTCCCGTCTTGGGTGGCCCTTCACGGTTTCGCTCATGACATCATTGAGGTGCTCAAGCTCCAGCGCCACGACAAGGCGGTGATCCTTTGCTGGAGCAACAAAACCCTATGCAGTTTTAATTGCTTTGTTGTATTTGTGTATATGTTTCCCTCCTGAATTAGTAGCATTTTTTCAGAAATAATGAAATTTGTGTCTTGTTTCTGGGTCTTGGAAATCCCTTTTCTATCTAAAGTTTAGTTTTAAAACATTATCTAAATCATCTAACTCACACATGAGGCTGTTTTCCTTCTACAATTGAGACAAAACAGAGGTGCTCTCAGTCGAAAGGCAGATCTGGGAATAGGAATGCAGCCTGTGAGTTACACTCTCCCTGAAATCTCAGCTTTACAGCTTGTACATATTCCTGGACTCAGATTTAATTATGGAGGCCCAGGTTGCTGTGGTTGCGAAGAATGCTTTGGCACATTTAAAGCTTGTACGCCAATGACTCCAGTAGCTTGAGACATTGGATCTGGCCATGCCTTCATTATATCCTATTTGGATTACTGTATGTGTGCTACTTGGGACTGCCTTTGAAGAGTGTTTGAAAACCTTACCTGGTCAAAGGAGCTGCACCCAGACAGTTAACTGGTGAAGATTACAAACACCCTGGTGCCATATTCCCCACATCTTGCTGCAACAGCTCCACTGGCTGCTGTTTTGCTTCAAAGCCCAATTTGTTGTGTTGGTTATGCTGGTTATAAAGCCCTATATCGTTCAGGTCCATGCTATTTGGGAGACCATATCTGCCAATAAGAGCAGACTGAGAAACTGAGATTAGGAAAGGTTTTTTTCTGTCTCACCACCATTGCAAACACAGTTGATGGAGACATGAGAGAGGGCCTTCTCAGTGGCTTCTCAGGGAGGCCAGAATGATGCCCGCCTTCTGTCAGGAGGCCAAAACAATTTTATCTCCATGGGCTTTTAAAACATAAAAATGAACTATTTTATTTTGATCATTTTTACCCCACCCTTCTCAACCCCTGGGGGGACTCGGGGCGGCTTCCAATTGGCAATAATTCAATGCCGCATCATAAAATACAGAACTGACTATATGCCTCTTCTCCCTACTCTATCCTCAAAACAATACAGTTAGATAGGTCAGACTGAGAAAAAGAGAGGTTCATGTGGGAACTTCAGCTTGCATCTCCTGGGTTCCTGTCCAGCAGTCTATCTTACTATGGACCTCATCACACTAAGATCCTCAAGCTGGGGGACAGTGGGAGCATCTGTCGGGCAGTGGAGAAAATCTAGCAGGCACTGAGGAAAACTGTGATCCCATGCCTTGCATTCCCCACATCCCCACTTTCTCCATCATTTGGGGGAAAGTGTTGCCATCTGGTTTTCCCCTCGTGCTGTCCCCAGCTTACTTAATGAGACTCATGTTCTCAGGGCTGTGTCCTAGAACACTTCCGGGATGGAGCCCCACCGGAAGTACCCTGCATCATGTGATGGGCTCCGTCGGGCTGTGTACTAGAAGCATCTTAGGATGGAGCCAAGTCTCATGTGACAAGGTCCTATGTCTTCCTGCCAGTGCTAGATTTACCATTGTGCTTAAATATTCTTAAGCACAGAGCCCCGTTGGTCGGGGGGCTCCTGTTCCTGCCTGTTTTCTTGATAATTAATTCTTCCTCTTCTTCTTTTTCTTGCTTTATCTCTGAAAAGGCCTTAACAGTGACCCAGAAGGTGAACTGTGTGCGCCATTTTATTCCAGAATGTGAGCAACACCTCCAGGAACTGAAAAAGCAGAAGCAAAAGGGCTTACTGTATGGTATCCCTGTCAGTATCAAAGACCACATTGCATACAAGGTAATTCCATCTCTATGAACTACACTAAGAATCTCTGGAAGGGTGGATATGAAATGCTGATCTACAGGTCTGGTAAAGGCTATGCAATATGCAGCTGTGCATGTGGTATAGTCAGTTCATAGAACTGTATTTCCTAAGGCAAGATTACTGTGGTGGCAACTTCAGAATGCATTGTGATTGGTACACTTTATAACTCAAAACTACAAAAATCTATTATATTTACTTAGTGTGTGTGTCTGTCTATCTATCTATCTATCTATCTATCTCATTGTACTATCTGACAATGAACAGTGTACTAATATGAAGAAAACAGGACAGTGGATAATGTGTCTAACTGTGCCAATTTCTCTAAGCATAGTAGTATGCATGGCTTCTTATGGCAGAAATCTTAATCACACTTGGCAGATCTTAATCACACTTCACAGCATACTTTTAAGGAAGGGCACAGCTGTTGCACTGTGCTGGAGCTTGCTGTGAGTGCAGTTTCCCCAAGTCATAGTTTGATATGAAATACTGACACTCATTACTGTTACAAGATAAGTTTTATTGATAGTGTACATGGTATATAGTAGAGGGGCAGTCTAGCCATTTTGCCAATGGAGTGCAGCATCCCCCCACAATGGGTTTATGGGGTCCTTAAACCGCTTATTTTTCTCAGACTATAATTGGCCAACAATCCTATTCATTGTATTGTTAAAGGCTTTCATGGCTGGAATCACTGGGTTGTTGTAGGTTTTTCAGGTTATATGGCCATGTTCTAGAGGCATTCTCTCCTGACGTTTCACCTGCATCTGTGGCAAGCATCCTCAGAGGTTGTGAGGTCAACCTCTGAGGAATCTTGCCATAGATGCAGGTGAAATGTCAGGAGAGAATGCCTCTAGAACATGGCCATATAACCCGAAAAACCTACAACAACCCAATCCTATTCATCATGCCTGGCACTGAAGGCCTTAGGTTGGTTTTTCCCCTGCCCCATGGTGAAGTTGATGGAGTCCCACAATAACAAAGTCACAAATTATCTATCTCCTCACTTGCCTTGGATGAAACACCTGAGCCCTTAGAGCAGTCCAGGAATTGGGTTGTTTCATAGCCAGTTACAGGAAAGCTAATCCAAAGCAGTTCCATCGTTGCAAGTCCCAGGACAAAATGAACGAAGAGATATGTGACAGTGTGACTTATCCGTATAAAGCCCAAGTCTTCACCCCGTCACATGATGCATACTGGCCCCTAGTGCCACACAGACAGCCTCCTGTCTCTAATCATGGAGTCTAATAAGCTCCCTTCCTATAGCATTGTTACACTGTGTAGTCCCAGTATGTATTCTATACCTATGGACAGATCTCAATATTTAATAATAATAATAAATAATAAACTTTATTTGTTACCCTGCCACCATCTCCCCAATGGGGACTCGGAGCGGCTTACATGAGGCCAAGCCCAAACGACAATTACAATAAAGAAAACCAAAACACAAACCAAAAACGCGAACAATAAACAACAACGTCATAGTTAAATAAAACACATTTGCCCTGGATGCTCACAAGAATGCTAATACTCATCTGCTCAATAACTTGTAAGAAAGTGCTGATTCACAATGTCATTTTAGCTTTCTCCTAATGCCTCCCCTAATGTTTCTAGGGCCATTTATCAACATGTGGCTTTACTCAGTCACTCAGTGAACTACAAGAAGAAGACAGTGTGTTGGTCAAGGTGTTAAAGAGGCAAGGAGCAAATCCATTTGTATTCACCAATGTTTCACAATCCTTATACAGGTAATATTCTGGAGAAAGATAAGTTAACTCAATTCATAGAATGCATTAATATAACCCATATTCCTTCTCAATTCTGGTGCAAGTCAACCAAATGTACTGAATTGATTGCAACAGCTCAACTGGTTGCCAGTTTGTTTCCAGACACAATTAAAAGTACTGGTTATGACCTGAGGCTGTATCTGCCTGTATCTGTCTGCTTGGGTCTGAGAGCATCAGGAGAGGCCCATCTCTTAGTCCTGCAATGGAAATGCTATGGAAATGCTATGGAATCACATGAGTTTTAGTTTTGCAATGTCTGCCAAATAGTGCCAAATAGTGCTGGTGCCTCAGCAAACTACAACTCCCATTCTATAGCATTAAGTCAAGGCAGTTAAAGTGATGTTAAGCTGCCTTAATTTTAGAGTGTAGATGCACCATTAGTCATTCCAACTCATCAGACAAGCTTTGGAAGCATCTTAGGAAGCTTCCCTGCCAGTCCAGCAACTGATGGACATGCTGCCCATCCCATGACATCACTGGAGTTCCTGCAGAGGGCCTGCCCACAAGTGGAGTAGAAGCCTTGTACAATGCTTCCCTCCCAACAAGGGAGCCTACCTGTGTTGTGCTGTCTCCAATTGAGCAATTCTTGCCAAGGGGGCTACACTTCCCATGTGTGATGGGAAAAATGTCACTGTGATGGAGTGGCTTGTGGGGTGACTGATTCACCCTGTTGCCTTTCTTTTCTTCAGTGAAGAGGGGCACTTTGTCTGGCCTTTGTGAGAAGGACGTATGAAAGCTTACAGGGTATGCAGCTGTACTACAGCCCAGCAGCTTGTATTATTTTGCTTTTTACAAAGTACCTAAGGCAACATTTTAGTTACTTTTGAATAACAAGAAATAACTTGCTGCCATTATAAAGGTAACTAACTACTTTGTAGGCCTTGGGACTGTAACTGTAATTCATTGCTTTTGAAAAGTAATTTCCTCAGCTCTGTTTCTGTTTTATAATTTAGTAGCCCAATATTCCGAATAAATATAAAAGGTTCTCTTTCTGTTGTCTTGTAGTTATGACTGCAGCAACTCAATTTTTGGCCAGACAGTAAATCCTCTTGATCATAAAAGAACCCCTGGTGGTTCATCTGGAGGGGAAGGGGCTCTAATTGCTGGAGGAGGCTCTATCTTGGGATTTGGATCAGACCTAGGTGGAAGTGTCCGCCTACCTTCCAGCTTCTGTGGTATTTGCGGATTTAAGCCAACAGCAGGTAGGCTGAGGTAAGTATTGTGGTGGAATGAAAATCGTGCATAGTACATGTCTTTACCAATTCACACACTGTCTTGCTAGAGAAAAGATATGCCACACTGATGATCAGTAAAGAATAAGATAAGCAGCATATATACAGTCATGTGAACAGTTGCATTGACTAACACAATGTCCTTTGAGAGATATTCTAATGTTCTTTGGGTGTCCATGTGAAGGATCTTCTTCCAGCAGCTCAGAAGCAGAAAATATACTAACTTGTCTTGGCAAACTCCTGCACAGAAAACCTAAACATGTAACTGTTGCCAAAACTCCCAGGCTCAGTTAGCATCTCGGGTGTAACTTAACCAATCAGCTTCATGCTTTGCATTTTTCAGTTAACACACTCACCAACTGATTTTTACATGTTCCAACAAGTATCTCCCACTCTGCAAATGATTGGCATTCTCTGCTATAATCAAATATTACGTTAGTTCAGGTTTTTGCAGCATTAATGGTGAGTGCTTTCATATCAGCAGGGTGATAAATCCACAAATTTTAGTTGGGAATTTCAAGGTCCCATCTAGGTTTCTGAACATATCTGAGGGGTTAACACCTTGGATGTCCCCTTTAAAATTGTACTAAAATTTATAGTGGATTCAACACCACACTAATATAAAAGCTACCAGTTACCTTTGCTTTGAAAGAAACCTGTGCAAGCACTGCCAAGGTGGCTACTTCAAGCATACTTTTTAAGATGTATGTTGGGCTCCATATTGAAAGAAACTTAACATAAACTTAATAAATTTGAGTGATTAATGTGTCCTGCAATGTTCTCTATGAAGCTTTAAGCAAACATCTCAGATTTGCTCTTCCTGTTYTCCTCCCTTTCTGTATTATACAGCAATTCAGGAATCAGAGGGCCTATTGATGGACTACTCTCTGGTAAATTATYTCTTTTTTRTGCTTTAAGAAAGAAAAGTTCAGAATTGATCATGGTTAAAATACAATAAAATGCAAAAATCCCCCCCCCCCCCATGGTTGTGGTAAACATTTGATCCTAGTTTGATATTCATTCTTGCTTTTGATGAGCTGATAAGATGRAGGAATGCATGAAAATTATTTTCAATCTGTTTTTGATAAGAATGTATCCAATTTGATCACATTTAGAATMGAATAAATGAAAGGATTAAAACATCTGAATGCAGGACAGACCCAAATGAACAGAATCTGTCACTGAATGTTAGTTCTGGGTTGCCATTTTTCTTCCTGGGAATAATTATACCATTTTTTTGTGATTGGATGTTGTCTCATTTTTGTTTTAGTGGGTTTATCCAGCTTGTGCATTACTTTATACTTCATACTTTGTGTGAAATCAAGTTTTAAAAATGTGAATGTAGAAGAAACTGTAACAACCCTAATTAGCCTCCTTTTTTTCCTCTCCAAAAAACTATCTGATGAAGTCTTTAGTTGGCTGTCCATTCTATTCTTTGTTGTAGACCTCCCTCCCTCGCCCTTAAAATGCAGCTATGAAACTGTTTAATATACTCTCATTCTGTTAAATTGGGCTTTCTCAGTCTGAAAACTCCCAGATGTATTTAGCTAGAGTACACATCATTTTCAGCCACTCCTATGGGATAATCATGCAAGTCAAAGTTTGCAGTATTTATTTGTATACAATCCATCTTTGCTTTTATACTGAAGTTATGGTAACAGCGGGGCCAATGGCAAGGGATGTGGACAGCCTGGTTCTCTGCATGAGGGCTCTCTTGTGTGAGGACCTGTTTCAACTGGATCCCACTCTGCCACCCATGCCATTCAATGAGGAGGTAAGTGAAAGATAAGAGTTCAGTTTCCTCTGCATTATGGGGATAGGGATATTATCCCTATATATGTGAAGCAGTTGTTCAAGCAACTACTTTCTGATTTGTATGCAAAGGGATCTTATGGCACCTTTGAGACTAACTGGGACTTGATCTACACTGCTCTATAATCCAGTTTCAGAATGTGAAGGAACTGTCTTAAACTGGATTATATCAGTCTACACTGCCCTATAATCCAGAAGAAACCCGTTAATCCACATTCTGAAACTGGATTTTAGAGCAGTATAGATCCAGCCTGAAAGAAAGACGTGGTAGCAAAAGCTTTCATGGACTATGGCCCCATCTACACTGCCATATAATCCAGTTTCCGAATACAGATTCAATTGGAAGCAGATATTATGGATTCATACATATTATATATTATATGGCAGTGTAAATCCAGCCTTAGTCTCAAATGCATGGAGTGATGTAGGTGATCTCTGACATACCTAGATCACTCCATGCATCCGAGAAAGTAGACTAAGGACCTCATCACATTGGGCTTTCCCCCCATCCTAAGTGTGTGAGAGAAATTGTAGGATAAGCTTTTGTAAACTTAGGACTTCATCACATGGAGGTCCATAAGCAGGGAAACAGCAGAGGAATCCATCGGGCAGTGGGGCGAATCCATCAAGCAGTGGGAGGAGCTTTCCTTAAGCATCCCATGTCACCCTCTTCTCTATCATAAACCAGTTCTCAGGGCCCAGTCCTATAACGCTGCCAGGACAGAGCCCCACCAGAAGTAACCCTCCATCATGTGATGGACTCCAGTGAGCTCTATCGTGGCTCCGTCCTGGCAGCATCCTAGAATGGGGCAAAAGCCCCATGTGATAAGGTTTCAAGTCACAAAGGTATTTAAAGTCCCTATGTATATTGATATTCCAGACTAACATAGTAATGTCTTTGATTGCTGGACTATATAATGCCGATTGGAGGATTTTGGAGTTGTGGTCCATAAAAATAATTGTTTTGCTATCAATCAATGAATTTTGGAGTCACCTCAAGATATGCTACTGTGATCAGTAGCATAGGCAAAACTCTCTGAAGAGAACAGGCAGAGTTATGAGTACCCCTTTCACCCTCTCCATGGCATTGCCATCATTTCATATTTAATGGTGCAATTTACTATAAAATAGGAGTGCTATATTCTAACCTTCTCTGGATTGAACTGCAGCACCTAGCGTTGCTCACTGTTGGCTACACTGGCTAGGGTTGCTGGGATATGCAATTCAACAATTGCCTGGATGTTATTGCCACTCTAAAACATTTTATATTGTATGCAGTTGCATAATGCCATATTATTAGTATGTTTCTTGACATACTGCAGAACAATTGATACATCTTAGTAGATGAGACTTAAGGGGTTCAAACATATATAGTCTGAAGAACATGTTTTACTTTGAATTTACAATTCCTAATGACAATTGAGGATTTGCATTTGAGATGCATTTGCAACATTCAAGCCTTCCTACAAATGGAAGATAGAGATGTTTCATATTATTTCCAAATTGCACACAGACTTTGGTAGAATAAAATGATTGCAGGACAGGGGAGTTCAGGTATATTATTTTCTTGCCTGACCTCAGGGCCTAAGTAAGTTTCAAACGACATGTCCACTTATGCACTGCCCTAATATAAAATACTCCCTAACATACTGTAAAATATTTTCTTGGAGTTAAAGATAGAGGTTCAGTTGCTAGTTTTGTGACACAGGCTTGTGGTTTTGATTTCAAGATGGTGTAAATCAGTAACATGAAAAGGGAAAAACAGAAACCAATGATTGATTGATTGGCTGAATTAGTTACATTTATAGCCCATGTTCCCTTAGGCTCACGTACCTAGCTCTCATCCTCCCCACTGTATCCTCATACCATAACTTTATGTGTTAGGTCAGGTTAAGAGTAAAAGATTGACCCAAGAGCACTGAGTGACATTTAGTAGTTCACTGGGGACCTGAGCAGTTAGATTGCAATCAGAGATCTAACGGGGTGGGACTGAAGTTGTTGGACTAAAACTCCCATCAGCCCTTGCCAGCATAGCAAAGTGCTGGGAACTGTAAAAATACAATGAATCAGTTTATCATAATGGACCCATGTGAAACTTAACAAATTGGTTGCACTAAGTCTTTTATATAATACATTTAATTTTAAAAAATCAAAATGTTGTGAATTGCAACCCAAAAACATCTGGAGGGCCACAAAGACAACTAGTGATTTTGTTACTTCAGAGCGGTAAACCCATGCTGGGTTTTACAAGAGGTACTTTTGGTTTTATGGGAGTTATTTGCAGCAGTTATCTGAGGTGCTGATAACTCCTCGGATAGCTTAAAATCATGAATGGCTTCCATAAAATTCTTTTGTAAAACCCAGCGAGGATTCATTATCTTGAAGTGATGGGGTCACTGGCTGTCTCTGGGCCACATGGTTACCTCTCTTGAACTAGAGGTTGCAAGATACAAGGAACTTCAATGTCTGCAATTTATATTCTCACCTTGCTCATAAGGTATATGAGTGCACAAGATGTCTATGACTATAATATGATTGTCATGTGTATAATTACGATGTATGCAACTACAATGTGCGAAGTAGCTGAATTTACAGTTTGCCTCAGTTCCTCAAAGGAGAACAACCTGGGATGAGAAGCAAATTGATAGACATCAATAAATAGTTGGGAAAGATTGTAAAAAGATATGTGGGTGGATATCAGATGTTGTAAGGGGATGGAGGCAGCTACTCTATCCTGCATCCAACAACTGGCCCATCTAACGTCAGAGATGTTGATCGTGGTGGTGGTTCTCTGGAGGCTCAGACAGAATTCTTTCTTAGCCTTGAGTCTTTTTGGGGGAGATAAAGTGAGGGTATAAATAAATAAATAATATAATTCTGGAGATTCCTATAATTTTTCTCCATATAAAAGTTCTTTCCCCTGTAATTTAGAATAATACAAGTAAATTGCGCTATTATATTCCTACTCAGCACTGAATATATGTAACAAAGCAGAGAAGGAGGATTTTGGAATTATTTATTTTATCTTTAGATTCTATCTCTTTTGCAGGAAGTTTGGGCAGCAGACATAGCTCTGTCTCCAGATGTATGCTCATAAGAACCTTTTTATTGAGATAGTGACTAGTCCATGACAAACTGTGGGAATTTATATATGAATACTCTAACTCTTTAACCATGACATCACATGAGCTATCATTTCACAATGACTGTGATCTTTAGAATTCTGTAGTTTGAGAGCAAACAGACATAAAACTATACAATCTGATTGTTATTGAGGGGTTCTTGGTGACTTTTCTTTCTTGCCAGGTATATTCTTGCTCTACACCACTCAGAATTGGGTTTTTTGACACTGATGGCTATTTCCTGCTCCCTCCTTGTATGAGGAGGGCTGTTCATACAACCAAGAAACTTCTCCAAGAAGCTGGTCATATAGTATGTACATCTGGGATTATTGTTACTTGCAATTTCTCTATTTATCCCAAGGAAAAAAGCTGTTTGCAAGGAAGTTGTCCATAATTTTAATGGTGCAGTCTCTGGAAACAGTGCTTTTTAAGCACAGATTTCACTAAGGGCCCTTTCAGACAAGATTAAATCCTGGTTCCTCTTGGCATTTAGGCCATGCAGTGGGCCCAAATCCCATGATTTTCAGAGGTGGGGATGCCTACTTTTCCTCCCATCTTTAACCATCCTAAACCTGCCTTCCCTCATCCCTTTTTCTATTTTTAAATATTTCAAAAGAAGAGAGTTTCCTTTCCTGGAGCTTGTAATCACTCTGTTGATTCAGTGGAAGTTTCAAGTGGGGAAGGGGGAATTCCTCCTTGAAAGCCCCATTTCACCATTTCCAGGCACAACAGAGTGTGCCTGGAAATTGTTTAAAAATAGAAAATGGGCCAAAGGAGGGATTTTCAGGTTTACTCTGGATTAGCCTGAGACATTGTTTGAATGCTTCAGGCTAATCCAAAACCCACCACTGGTTTTGGCCCTGTGTAGAAGGGCCCCCTGGTGGTGCAGTGGGTTGAACCGCTGAGCTGCTGAACTTGCTGACCAAAAGGTTGTTGATTTGAATCCAAGGAGTGGGGTGAGCTCCCACTGTAAGGCCCAGCTTCTGCCAACCTAGCAGTTCAAAAACATGCAAATGTGAGTAGATCAATACATAATGCTTCTGCAGGAAGGTAATGGTGCTCCATTCAGTTATGCTGTCCACATGACCTTGGAGGCATCTACGGACAAGGCTGGCTCTTCTGTTTAGAAATGGAGATCCCCCCCCCCCGAAAAGGAAACAACTAGACTTAATTTCAGGGGAATCCTTTACCTTGGCTAGAAGCATCCTAAATCTCACTAAAGTAATATTAGATTGATTATACAATAATATCTTGGCAACTGCAGAATCCATATCTGTGGTTACACTTACCTGTGCCCTGAGAAAAATTGTCTCACTAGGCTTTTGCTATGTATAGACTGTAGCAGATGAAAGGCAAAATGCTCTGTTTGCAGAGCAAATTTAAGTTTGTTAGTCTGGAGAAATTTGGAAATGTTCCTTTTAAGTATCAACTCATCAGCTACAAAAAAATATGCTTCAGAGATGCTTAGGTCTATGTGGATTGTGGCACACGTAGAAAACATTAAGCTCTTCCTGTGCTCCACCTCATGAGTCTTGATCAATTTCCCATTCCCTCTGTCCTTCCTCCCTACATGGATTTTAAGTAAGCATAGGAAGACAAAAAGGCATGGAACTCCTTTGTTTATTTGTGCTTGGAATATTTACAAGATGTTGAGCCCTTCTTGAGATCAATAAAGGTTGGCATGCACATTTCTGATAATGACTAGTTTGGTTGGTTGTATGAGAAGAGGGTTCTTCAACCAGTTATTTTATACGCTTAGTAGACTCTGAACTGGAGGCATTGATTATAACAGTCTTCCTTCCACATCTAAATTCCAAAAGGAACTCCAAAAACAAAAACAGTAGTGTTGATTCTTCTTCAGAATCAATAGCTGGAGTGGGAAGTATTTGTAAAATGACACTTCAAGTTAATTAGTTAACATCTAGTGACTTATTAAATAACAATATATTCTAGGTGTTCTGCAAGAGCCTCTTCTAGTCCTACTAGAAAATGCCAGGAATTGAAGTTGAGACCTTTTTGTTAAATATTACAAATATTGTAAATATTACTTTCAATTTGTTTAATTGGCTCAATAGCAGAGGCTACATTTTTTAAAAGGTTCAAGGTTTAATGCCTAGTATATTCAGTTAGGCTGGAGGAGACTCCTATATCAAACTCTAAAGAGTGGCTACAAACAAGTGTAAACAATAATGTGTGTTGCTAAGGTCTAAACTGAATGATAAATCAAACATGTATATGCATTCATCAATATATTTCCTTTTATTTACAGCTGGTTCCTTTCACTCCACCTTCAGTGCATTATGCCATAGATGAACTCTTTTTTAAAGCTCTTTTTGCAGATGGAGGCTCAACTATGTCCACCATGTTGTAAGCAATTATTAATTTTAAAGGGGATTGGGTGTGAATAACGTTGGAATATGAACACACGTTGTCATTAAAAGTCAACTCTGAATACCCAAATACCCATTTGCTGTAATAAGCAATAAAGACTAGTGCATTCTACATTTCACATTCAGTTTGCTCTGCCATGGATTGACCACTAGAGACATATATTATTTCTCCATCTCCTGCCTCTTTATCCACCGGTTTCATTTGGTCCTGAGCTATATGATAATGGTAATTTTAAGGGAAAAAGTAGGACTGCCCTTTTCAACTTACTCTCTCCCACATAAGTGAGCAAAAATTTATAAAGAGCAAAAATCTAGGGTTGCCAGAGGAGAAGATTGGAGACCTTTGCTGTTTCTGTAATGGTTATGTGAAAGAGAGCATTTCAGCAGGTGTTGCTTGTCATGTAACCAGGTAACAAAAAACTTCTATTGCAATCACCTCTTCTACACAAACATTAATGCTAAAAGACGGCTCTCTTGTTTTCACTTGGCATCTCTAGCAGCAACTAAGAGGAATGCAGCATCAACTTTTTTGTGTGTCAGGAGCGACTTGAGAACCTGCAAGTCACTTCTGGTGTGACAGAATTTGCTGTCTGCAAGGACATTGCCCTGGGCATGCTCAGGTGTTTTTGATGTTTTACCATCCTTGTGGGAGGCTTCTCTCATGTCCCTGCATTGGGAGCTGGAGCTGACAGAGGGAGCTCATTCATGCTTTCCTCAGATCCTCAGAGCTGACAGAGGGAGCTCTGACCTGTCAGTCTTCAGTCCTGCTGGCACAAGGGTTTAACCCATTGAGCCACCGGGGGCTTCTCTGGCATCAACTGTGGGAATAGATTGTTCAAGGGCCTCCCAAGACTTCTGAGAGGCATGAGAGTAATCACTTTCTTCCATTGTTATTTCCCATCTACTCGTAGTTAGAAATCAATTTCTTCTCATACATTTAGGAGTTGGATTTCACTATTATTACTCGTAACCACTGTGTAGCCTTATTCTCCAGCAATTTATCCAAATTGCTTTACAAAGCTGTCCAACAGCTTCTTGTGGTAGCGCATTACACTGATGTAAGTAACTGTAAGAAATAAATGCTTGTTCTGTACAAAGGAATCGGGCCCTCCTAACATCTTATTTTTTTTCTTCTTCTGCTATCTCCAAGCAAAAGAGAAATAGTGGACCCAAGTGTGAAATTTCAGGTGAATTGCCTTATGATTCCAAATTTAGTCAAGAAAGTTGTGGCAAAGATCATCAAGCCATGGGTGAGTTTCTGGGTTTCTTCAGGTTTTTATATGTTATTATATTGTCAGCTTTTTTTCTTCCTCTGAAGTCTTATAAACATTAAAATGGAATGTTGCTCTTATGTGTCTGCACATGTATGTGTGGGATAGAAAAATAAATTAGTATATGCTTCATTTTATGTGTCTTTCTCCTCCGAAGCCTGGGCATCATGCACCCTACTTACACCTGGTGTATTTCAAGACATTGTGGAGACATAACAATTTTCCTTGAACATTTAATTACTCAATAAATTGTTGTTTAATGCCTTCAAGTATTTTCTCACTTATGGTGACCCTAACATAGTATATTTTGGGACTGGAAGTATCTTATTTCCCAGGATTTTAATTGAGATTTCATTGAGGGATTTGAAACCTCTTCTCCAGAGTCACAGCCCAACAGGCAGACCACTATATGCCACTGGTTTTAATCTTCCATTATTATTTGTAGATGAATAATAACCAAGCCAATTTTTCTCATACTATTTAAGAAACAGGCAATATTGATGATGGACAGGAAGATACAGGTGCACTGTGTAAGCCCATATGGGAGAAAATGTGGGTGTCAATTTGATATACGGAAATGGGAAATCTTCAGGTTTCCCTAGCAGATAGAGCAGGGGAAATGAAGAACAGATCTAAAATTTCATGCACTCTTTATTCAATAGAAATGAAGATACAAAGTGCAATTGTAATTCATTGTACTTTAGATACCTAGGCTGGAATCCCTTTTATGACTTAAGTTGGGATGATTTTCCAGAGGAATTCACTTTTTGGAGCAATACACAGCAGCAATGGAAAGAAGATTGCCAAAGAAAGCTGCCTCTACTGCCACAGCAGCTTTCTTCCTGAGCACCATCTTTTGCTGCTTTCCTGCATAACTCGCTGTGTTTATGGTTGTATAATTATACTCCTTAGCAGGATTGCACTTTGGGATAAAATACCCCAGTGGAAGCTCTGTTAGTTCTATCCTCCACCATGTTTACAACTGTAGCTAGATTGTATCTTTTGGATCACAACATCTTTCAGAAACCATGGGTCACTAAGTCTGGCCACCTGGTAAATCTGTGTGCAAAGGTGAATCTACCTCAGATTGATGCATTTACAAACATTAGGCTTTGACTTAAGCAAAGCTCAAAGATGGTCCAGAAATATGGTGTCATTTATGCATATCTCCATAGAAGCTGTAGATGCTACTAAATCTAGATTCTTACCCAGTCTTGTTTTCTTTCCAGTTTCCACGACTAGCCAACCACCTTTATGCATTGTGTGGAGTTGGGTAAGCGTTTTGCTTTAAGAAATATATAAAAATGAAACTCATACAAGTTGCAATATGAAGTGTGGGGTGGGAATTATGCTGTCCTTCAGATGGAGTTGGATAATAACACTAAGGAGGTTAGTATAGCCAATGATGAGGAATGCTGGGAGTTACAACCCAGTATCAGTTGGTAGAAGAATATGCAATGCAGCCCAATGGCATGTAGAGTTTCCCATCTCTTTTCTAGGGGCATACAATCTTGTTACCAATTTTTCACAAGCAAACCTCACCATTTTAATATGTTATATATTTCAGGGCTGTGAACAAGCTGTGGGAGCACCATGACAAAGTGATGGTAATAATAATAATAATAATAATAATAATAATAATAATAATAATAGTTTTGAGTGAGAATACAAGCACAGTTTAATCTGCTCGGAGATAGAATGTGAGATATATTAATCTCCAAGGGCTGCAAACAACCTTAATTGCAGATAAGGGGAGGACAACCTGTATCTCTCCAACAATATGCCCAGACCTCTGTGAATTTTGCACTGTTATTCTGCAAGAAAGCACAGTGGGCAGTATACTGCACTAAGCAACTTCTCTTGGACAAACCTTCCCACAAACCTAACAGAGTTATCATTCATCCTTTTTCATCAACATCAAAGTGGACTTCCTTTGCATCATGTAGCTGATCTCTGGAAAAGTAAAAGGGGAGTAGAGAGTTACAAATGTGGCAGTGATTTCACAATTGTGACTAAGCAGGGATTGTGTAAACATAGGTAATTTTTCTGTATTCACAATCACTACTTTGTCATGATTATGATTGCAACCACCACGAGTATAACTTTCCCTCCAACCAACTTTACTGTGTATCAGCTGCAAGGGTAGAAGTAGAAGGGGACCATTCTGCTGGTGATCAATCAGAGTGTGGGTGAATGACATTTCCGTCAGGTTTGGTGGGAAGGGGGCAGACCATGAAAAGTTATTTTGTTAAGACTATTTCAGTAGGTAGGCAATGAAGAATACTGGCCACTCTCTTTTTGTAAGTACATTTCAGATGCTTAATATTGTCATGGAACTGTTGGTAGGACCTGGGGAAAAAGTTGTTTGTTTGTTTGTTTTTTTAAAGCAGATAGCTTTCAAGTCCAGAGAACTCACCTGGTCGTAAAGTCATAAAAGATGCACACTTTTTTCAATTGCAGGGCTAGGCAAAATGTGGGCAAAAGTGTGACCCACTAAATTTCTTATTTATTCCCATCACCTCTGATGTTCTGGTCACTTCTGGAATGCAACTGTTTGGTCTGCCCCTGACACAATAAATAAAAATAAACCTCCGATGTTAGGTATATGAAATGAGTTTTCAACCAGAATTTGAATGGATGGTCTTGTGGTCTCTTCCAACTCTATGATTCTGTGCTTCTAGAAGTTGAGTTTGCCGGTGGTGGACTGAGATTTTAACTTTCAGAAGGTGGGCAGGTGTGGCCCTCAGATTCTACAAGTGGGCGAAACATTCCTGGCAGCTGCCCCTTTGGTCTATTTTTTCAAGTTAGGTTTACACTGTGCAACACGGTAGAGAAGTAATCCCACAGGTGTGCTTTGAATGTTGCTATGACTAAGCTTTGTCTATTCTAAACAAAGCAGTTATAAATGCCACTGCCAGAGCATAACTAAGATGTCATTCAGCAAAAAAAAAAATCTCTAAATATAAATTGCAGCTAATATTAATAACAAAAAAACAACATGTGAAATGAACTGTCTTAGCTGCAGTGAGCTTCTTTTCTCAAATAGCCTGATATACCTGGAAGATCTGGCTTCCTATAATCAATAAGGAAGAGGACACGAGGCACTTCAGATGGTGGGGATGCAATTCTCAGAAGTTCTAGATATCACAGCCAATAGTTGAGTTGCAGTCCAACATTTTGAGAAGCACACTTTCCCCATGGCTGGAACAAGTATCTTAGTGATAGCAGAGGGGGAAATATGTTTCAGCACATGACATATACTTACACTTATGACATATACACATACTTATGACTTGCAGTTTCTCAAGTTGCTCCTGACACGAAAAATATATATACTTATAATTAGGTTGACTACATAGATTCTATTATTCTTTAGGACACTCTTTCAGAGTTTTCCAGTGTCTTTCTAATTGCTCATCTAGATCCAATACTTCTCTAACTGCCTTTGCATTGCACATTCAGGCTTATCGTCAGAGATTTGCTGCTGAGTGGAAAAAATACAAGCTTGATGTTATCCTTTGTCCAGTCTTGGGTCCAGCTTTCACTCTTGGGTATCCTGCCAAACTACTATGTAAGTCTGGTATTTCAAAAGTATGTGTATATTTCAGCCACATTAATAATATTTGTTTATTTTTTAAAAGCCTCATGAGGTTTTAGGAACATTAATTGAAAAACTAGTCCTGCAGTGGAACTGGGCTAGAAGGTGAAAACTGGAGAAGTTTTATGGTTGTGACAATCCAAAGAGAGAAATTGTAGTCAGAAAGCTGAGTGGTTCAGAAGAGATAGAAACACACTTACTTAACTTGGCATAGAGTTCCATAGTTGCAAACTCTATGCCAACTATTCCACATTAATCACCACAAAGCTTTGCCCTAGATAAATACCCACATAGCTATGCAACATATTGGTGCATACAACAGGATTTCAAATTTCAGGCAGGATCATTTGGGAGAAGACAAATGGCAGTATTTACAAACTGACTGTTATTCATCAGGGGTTATCAATTTTTGACATTTTAGCTGTTGTTAGACTACAACATCAAGCAACTCTCACCTTTGGTTCTTCTGGCTAGAGCTGCTGATGGTAGTTACAGAATCCAACAATATCTGGAGGGCTACAAGGTGTTTTCTCCTATTGTACAGTGCTGGGAATTCATTCTTCCTAGAGATGTTAGTAGGTATGATGCTCAGCCTCTGAGGTCTGAAGATGTGTGAATGACTAGGAAGATAGAAATATTATATTTGCAGAGACAGGAAAAGAGGGGTGAAAGAAAAAAAACTGATTGTGGAGGATAAAATAAGGGTGAAGGAGTAAATAAATGCAACCTGGTGCTCATGTTTATAAAGCCTTGATGAAAATTATCAGATTAGACCAGGGCTTTGTGGAGGGTGCTAAAATTCAGCTAAGAATACCTGGCTATTTTGTATGACCAAATAATTCATACTTGCAGTGGAAGAATATGTAGAAGGCTGGTTCTACACTAATCATTAAATGCAGTCTGAACTGAACTAAACTGCATTTTATAGTCAATGTTGAAGCAGCCCATGATGGTCTGCCATAACTTCAGTTGTACGAGTAGATGGGGTAGGGGGGATGAATTCCACTAACTTCTTTTTTGCTTGTTCTCTTCCTTAGCTGCTATCTCATCTACCATGTTGTTCAATGTGTTAAACTTCCCTGCTGGAGTTGTGCCAGTCACCACTGTGACAGAGGATGATGAAGAAGAACTGAAGGAGTATCAAGGACACTATGGTGACCCTTGGGATAAGAAGCTGAAAGAGGTAATCCTAAATTGTGGGCTCAAATAAAAAATGAAAAGTCTGATTTTCGTGAATTTCAAAGCTGAGATTTTGATGTCAAAAATGTAAAACACATTCATTTCACTGAAGGGGACTTGGCTTGATTCAGAAGCAAGATTTGACATCAGAATGTGAAAACTGTTTTTTTAGATCAATGAGTGAAGATGAACTTTACTAAGCACAGTCAGTCCCCAAGTTATGAACAAGATAGGTTCTGTAGGCTTGTTCTTCAGTTGAATTTTGTAAGTTGAAACAGGTATATTTTTACGTGTAACTCCAGAGATAGATAGATAGATAGATAGATAGATAGATAGATAGATAGATAGATAGATAGATAGACAGACAGACAGACAGAAAGACAAGCTTTGGATAGCATTGGGAAGGGCTAACGCCTTTGTGGTGTTTGTTTCACTATCTGTATCCATCTTTAGAAGATTTCACTTCACTTTCCATCCCTGTAATAATTGGATTTTGAAAAAAAAAATGCTTGTTGTGGAAACAAGGATTGGTGATAAAGTTTCAGTGGAGACACCTTTCCCCCCATGATAACTCTATCAGGAGTGAATTTTCCTTCCTGTGGATAGATTTCGCTCACTTCCTGTTGTGTTGCCCCTGTTCTTAACTATGAGTCACTTGTAAGTCAGATGTCTGTAACTTGGGGACTGCCTGTACTATTGAAAATTATTTGTTAATGCTGTTGAAAGGAGACTTCAATCCAACATCCCTTTAGTATAGTATAACTATCCACATTTGGGTATAAGGTAGCAGAAATTAACAACATTCCATAACACATGTCAGGCCCCTTCTACACTGCCATATAATCCAGATTATCAAATCAGATATTCCACATTATCTGGTTTGAACTGGATTATATGAGTCTACACTGACATATAATCCAGTTCAAATCAAATAATCTGGATTTTATATAGCTGTGTAGAAGGGACTTCCATGAGCAGGTGCCATTGTATAGTGCACATTGGACACCCACAATTCGAAGTATAAGATGCACAACCAAAACGCACAGCTTGGAAAGACAAGTACATGATGTCCGCTCAACTCTGTTTCCTTTGCTAACATTATGTCCAAGTAGATGATGCACAACCACAGTTTACATCTTGGAAAGACAAAGCATATGATGTCTGTTCAACTCTGCTTCCATTGCTACCATTATGTTCATTGCCCAATTGTGAACCCACTCTGGATTTTAACCCAAGCTTTAAAGGGACTATCCAAAAGGTTAGCAATTCTCAGCAATACTACTTTTTGAAATCTCTTGCAGGCTGTGAAAGGTGGTGTGGGGCTTCCAGTGGCAGTCCAGTGTGCAACTTTACCATGGCAGGAAGAGCTATGTCTTCGATTCATGAAAGAAATAGAGACATTGTCCTTGGAAGGAAGGCAAAAGAAAGCTACCTGAACTGACCAGAGGAAAAAATGACATCTACCTATAAAGGGGCAGTGATAACCAGATAACCAGAAATATCCATTACTCTTGCATCATGAAAAAACAGGCACATTTCATTCCAGAATTCCTATTTGTCCTATGCGAGGAAATGTCTGAAATCCCCCTTTTACATGAATCATTGGTTCCAACAACCCAAGAAGTACATTTTGTTCCAAAGACCCCTATATAAGTATCTCAGCATGAAGTTGAATGTGTTTCTTTTGGAGTCAGATGCAGTTCAGCACAAAAAACAGTGTCACCTATAATATATAACTTTGCAGAGTAAGAAGGGGATCACATTCCACTCCTCATTACTATGATGACTAGTAACATGATTTCTTTTCAACAGCAATATATATAGCAGTCTATTTTTTTTGTTCCTTTGTAGTGATCTTTGTATTTTTAGTAAAACGTTTTAAAGGCATATAAATAAACTAACAAACAATAAAAGAAAGTAATGAGTTACTTTAAAATATAACATTCAAAATTGTGTTTTTGCAAGCCTAATAACCTCCCCACATTGGGATTTTTATTGCCCCCTTTTCCTCTTCTGGATGGAGTCTGCCAAGCACCATCAAATGATGCCGGCCTGACCTTGACCCCATTCCCTCCAAAGTGGAGGGAAAGAGTCCCAAGATGCTTCCTCTGCCACAATGGAGAGGAAAGTGTGTTTTGGGTAGTTCCAACTGAGATACCTGAATTTTCTTCCCCTTTTGCTCAATATGATGCTGTCCTTTCACCCATATGATGGGGAGAGGGACAGGGAACCAATGCACCTTGTCCTGTCCCCATGTGATGGGAGAAGGAGGGAGGGTGTGCGGGGTGCCACAAGGCTTTCCTGGGTGACTGCCGTCGAAATGGCATGGCCCCAGGGGCCGTGTGAAGAGGTTCGTAGTCACATGTCTGATTGGGCTGAGATGAGAACAGAAGTAAGTAAGTAGCGATAAAGTAAAATTTTATAGACCGCCTTCTCTCCCCGAGGAGACTCAGGGCAGTTAACACACCAAAAAAGGCCAACTCAATGCCCTATGCAAATATAAACATCTCAAAAATAATTTAAAATAATAACCATAAACTAATGACAAAAGAGAAATTAAAATTGAAATGTAAAACAGAATATGAATAGTCAAATAAACATAATTATACTAATAACATAATTAACAATTAAGACATAAACCCTGAGAAAATGATTAATATACATTAAAATGATTATCATTGTTGTTCTTTCTTGTGTACCATAGCAGCAATGGAATACAAATAAGTTAGCCAGTGTTGGCTGGTGCTTTTTCCTCTGTTGCACTCCCGTTGCCTATTCTTATAGCCTCTCAATTATTGGGTTAGAAGTGCAGCAACGCTTAACACTGAAAAGTCAAGAATGTCGCAGAGCAGGCTGAGCAGTAAAAATAACATTAAATTGTTTGCATGACCCAAACCTCCCTTCCTCCTTGCCTGCTTATATTGACCCCTCTGTGATGTAAACTTATGCTCTTAGGGAAGTTTTTCACCTCTTCTCTTTCCACCAATTGCATCTCAGCAATTCCCCAGAATAAAGATAGCTTAGATTGGCATCCTGAGTAATGTCCCTATCCTACAGTGGTGTTTTCATAATAAAGTCTCTACTTTGTTTTCCAAGCCATTGGTGACTTTGGTCCTTAATCAGCGCCTTTAATGGCTGCATGCAGTCTATTATACTGGCTATGAAAGGCTTGCAGTGATAACTTCACTTCTCCCCATGTGGATTTACCACATTATTAAAATCATGATTTTTCAGGGCAACAACAGGTGTAGGGAATAGATATTGAAAAGGAAGGTTTAAACACTTTCATAAACTTAAAAAGATCCAAATGCTCTTGCCACTTAATATACATTTTACTACACCTTTGTATATCATGAGACTTGAGCATCTATGAATGCTGAGATACATGGAGGGTCCTGGAATCAAGTCCAGGAGATACCAACAAATTGAACGCGATTGTCCTGCTTCTTGGCAAGGGGGTGGACTGGATGGCCCACAAGGTCTCTTCCAACTCTATGATTCTATGAGGGCAAAAAACAGGATTTCACTCCTGTTGGAAATTTGGAAATATATACAGAGAAATACCTGAATTTGAGATGTGAATTCTTGCTTTTCTTACTCATGTGTGTGAAGGGAATTTTTACATAGTTACCTCTGGTTTATTTTTAAGGCATTAATGGTAGATTAAAATAATTAATGACATCACTACACTATTCAGTACTATTTGTGTTGCTCAGGTCTGCCCTTAACCAAAAGCACAACCCTATCATTTTACATATAAATCACATGCCATTACTATTTTATATCTAGACTAAAAAGTTACATTTTTTCCCAAAATGGTGCATTACTCCCAGAATATATGTTTTAATTTTGACAAAGCATACCTGAAGCAGATAATAGCTATCCTAACGAAGGTAAATTGACTCTAACATTTAAACAGTGAGTCTAAATTATGCCATGCAGTAATACACACTTGTACAACTGGATGAAAAAGTGTGCCATACTAATTTGGAAACAGCTGAATGTTTTATTGACCTAAATCCAATTACTAGTCCCAACTAAAGCAGATCCATTAAATTAATGAGAATTTAGTAAGTCGATAATTATGTACTCCAGTTAGAATGAATGATTGGATTTAATCCATGGCAGTTTTTTTCATTGCTATGTCAACAGGATATCTTCTTTTTACATATCTGGTAGCTTTTAGATGTTGTGGATGATGGGCTACAAAGGCTAGATTCCAAGAAGTGAGAGCTAATAAAGGAATGGGAAGGGATGAAGCTAAATGGGGAAATGAAGGGAAGTTGTAACATACAATTATTAGTGCAAGACAGGGTTATTTTTTTGTATCAGGAAAGAAATGGCAAGTCACTTCTGGTGTGAGAAAATTGGCCACCTGCAAGGACATTGCCCAGAGGATGCCCGATGTTTGATGTTTTACCATCCTTGTGGGAGGCTTCTCTCATGTCCCTTCATGGGGAACTGACAGAGGGAGCTCAACCCACTCTCCCTGGATATGAACCACTGACCTGTTGGCCAGGAGTCCTGCCAGCACAAGGATTTTTAACCCATTTCGCCACCAGGGGCACCTACAAGACAGGGCTATCCCAAGAGAGATCTAGGTAGATTTCATAGTTCAGACAGCACTAGAAGAAGTCATCCTTGGTGGACCTGTCTAAGCAACTCAGTTGGTGCAAGCAAGTACTTTAAGCAATGCCATAGTGTGGATGATGGGGCTCCATACCAGTTGTAAATGACAAAAAGGGTCTTGAGCGTGGATAGGTGTAATGGTCCTAGCAGCTGCTCTATATGTGTGGTAGAGAAGGACCTGCAGTGCCCTCATTTTGTGAAATACAGACATAGAGCGCAACCTGACCTAAAGCACCACCTGCTGTCCACTATATGAATTTTCTAGCTTGGCAACAGTAGAGGACAATCTGATTTACAGATCTAGCAACTATATTTTCTGTATCTATATCTACCTTTGGAAAGATAGTAAATTTTCTGGAAAGAGATAAATATACTAAAGAGCGTGGGATGCCTTTCTTTTCTTAAAAATGGGACAAATTTAAAGGAAATTTTTTTTGAATAACAATAGCCATATTTATGTTTCTTTATCTCGCCTTTCTCACAGTTCAGGATCCATTGTGGCAGTTTCTGTATCTTCATAGTGAAGATATGGCACTTGGATTGGCACTTCATAGTGATAACTGGGTTTTAATCTGATCTTAAACTAGCTCTTCAAGGATCTTGAGCCCTATCCCCAGAATAGGTTCAACACGTTGACATGTACAGTTCAGATGAATACTTGGAGTGCGCTCACCACCCAAGTGACATGGGAATCCCCATCTGCCACCACACAAGCCCTGGTTGGATAGGATCATATAGTTGCAAGAGAACAGAAGGCTATCAAGTCCTACCTGTGCCATGTGCAGGACCACGCAATCTAAAGAAGGAGACTACAACACATTCAGCAGCAGGATATATCACTGTTGAACAGTCCTTATTGTCAAAAAGTTCTTCCTAAAGTTTAAGTGGAATGTCTTTTCTTGTCAGTTGAACCCACTGCTAGATGTCTTAGTTTTTGGATCAACAAAAAATAAGCTACTCCACCTCAAATATAACATCCTTTAAAATATTTAAACACAGCTATCATATCACCCCTTAACTGTCACTTCTCTAGGCTAAACATACCATCCTGCTTCTCCTTAATGTGTACAGAATGCTTATGCAAATGCAGATTCTGCAACACATTTGGCGCTCCAATCTAGAGATTGAACAATCTAGGGATGAATGGTGTTGACACAACTGAAATGGCTATGCGTGATATAAACAGTAGGTGAGATCTGATTATCATAGTAAGTGAGACTATGATAATCATGTAGTTACTTTCTAATCATTGGATGCATTTTGTTTCTTGCCTAGAAAATGCAGTTTGTAAAACAGGGGTGTGGCCAAGGGATGTTGAGTCTCAACATTCAGAAACTCTACCCAGCATTAGTAAAGCTGAGGAATGCTAGGAGCTATAGTCTAAAAATATCTGAAGGGCCACACAATTCTCATTTCTGTTATTGGGAGAAAACTTACATTTTTAGCTATCAACAGTATTAAGACAATAAAAAGGGATTAATCCAGATCACCTAGTGAAATCTTCCCTGCTACAATGAAATGTAATGTATGGTTTGACTCCCATATTTGCAAGGAATACATTCCAGTACTTTGTGTGCGAAACCATAGGTAAGAACAAACCCTATTGAATGAATGGCATTCAGAAGAGCATACTACAGAATTGAGCTAGAGGATCTAAAAGTGCCTAGTAGAAGACACCTCACTAAGTACCATTAGGTCCTATGGCACAACCATTTACAGTGAAACCTTTACTTACAAACGAACTGATGTATGAGTTTTTGAGATACAAGCCGTTGCTCAGTCAATTTTGTTGCTTTGATATGCAAGCCAAGATTTGAGTTATGAGTTAGCTCAAGAGCTAGAGTGAGAGTATGCCACCTATCAGACAATGTAGCCTCATTTATGGAGGGGCTCCATGGATCAACTAGGGTGCAGGCATCCTGTGACACTGCACCAGCAACACGGGAGCCTCCCCGGATTCCATTAGGAGCAACAGGGCTAGCAAGACGGGAAGCAACATGGCAACACTTCCCCATGTGTGATAGGGAAGCATTGCTCCTGGCAAGGGGGGTGGGTGCAGGACACCAGGATTGCCCTGCCAATTTGCCATGGAGACTGATGAATCAGAATGTAGGATCTTATCAATGTGATGAAGTCCTTATTCTGAATCATACCATTTATCCTTCTAGGATAGTGGTTCCCAACCTTTGGGCCTCTAGGTGTTTTGGACGTTAGCTCCAACTGTTCCTAACAGCTGGTAAGCTGGCTGGGATTTCTGGGAGTTGAAGTCCAAAACACCTGGAGGCCCAAAGGTTGGGAACCTCTGATGTAGGCCAATACTGGTAACACTGACTGATAGATGCTGCTCAGAATTCCAGGCAGAATTATTTTCTAGTCCTAATTGGGGATGTTGGGGGATTGATCCAGGAGCCTTCTGTGTGCAAAGCAGGGGCTCTACTTAAGAGTTATCACCACTTTACATAGTATTAGCATTGCCTTGCATTATAATGAGGACAAAAGAGATTAAATTTAGCAATAGATTAGCATCTTGGACAATAAAGCAGGATAGGGGATGTGTTGCTCTTCAGATTTTATTATGCCTTTTTGTGTGTGGATTTCCAGATGTAGTTGGACTGTAACTCCCACATCCCTCAACAATGGCTATGTTGTCTAGGCCTGATGGGAAATGCATTCCATCAATACCTGGAGGTCTGTATGTTCTCCATCCTCTGGTCTAAAGAAGCAGAATTTAATAATGTTTTATCAACTTTCCAAGGGGATTCCTTCTTGTTGGGAGAACTGCAGGATATATAAATTGCAAGAAATAAGTGAAATAACCTTATTTACAGTTCTTGAACTCCCATTTTTTCCAGTTGTGACAAAACATGAACTGGTCTGCTTTGATATCCACTATTTGAAGATCAGCTGGCAACGAGGCGAGTGAGGCTTCCGTGCAGCTTTGCATTTAATGTGAATGTTAAAGAGTGAGAGCTTTCTTCACCACCCTTCCTTTTTAAGTAGTGAAGAAACACATTCTAGTTGTTGTTTTACACAGCTGAATGGTGATAACTCTATTGGCAATTGTGAGTGATTACTGCATTATCTGCACTCAGACAAAGTTATTGTTTTGAATGCTAAAGGAATTAATGATACATAAAACTATGTTATTATGTGCTGCATTCATCAACAGAAATGCTCTGCCCAGCATCGCTGTGCTGTGATTACTCCAGCCTCCTCTTTCCAAAGAGAGATAGGGGCGGAGACAGTTCATTGCCAGAGATTTGCATACATTTACATCCCAAGAGGCTGATTGGTGCAAGAGCTGATTATATGGCAAGGCAAGGCATGCTTATCTCTCGCCTTGGAACCGTTAAACCAAGGAGAATTTGACTGCTCTCTTTGGGCTGAGTAAGATATATATTTTTAAATACCAATGAATGTGTGAATGCAAAGGAAAATCTAATTGTACAGCCTAACGTGAAGCTGT